AAGGACTGAAAGCACTGCTGAGGGGAGCAGTGGGCACAACAGGAGAGGTCTGCTGCGCCATGTGAGTAGCTCCCTGGCTAGCCCGGAATCGAACTGGCACTGTAGAGGCTGTGGACAGCTTCACAGCGCTGCTCTCAACCTGCTGCGCCACCGGGAAGGCCCTATTTCTGGAAGTTTTTATTCATAAATGGATGTTGGTTTTTCTACATCTAGTAAAATGATCATATAGTTATTTTCTTTAGATTATTGATAAGATTGATTTTCATATGTTGAATGAACCTTGTATTCCTGGGCTAACTACTAACTATATAGTCATAATGGATTTATCTTTTTTTTTTTTATATTGTTGCATTCATTTTGCTAGTATTTTGTCTAGGATGCGTTGTCATTGTTCTTGATATGTCTTTTATAGATAAAGGACTGTTCCTTCTTGGTGCACTTTGATAGTATCTGATTTTCGTGGAATTTCTCCATTCAGACTTAGTTGTGAAATTTATGGACTAGAGGTTTTTCCTAACATTCCTTTATCCCGTTAATATGCCTGTGAAGTCCATGGTCAAACCACTCCTTTTTCATCCCTAATATTGGTGACTTATGTCTTTGCTTTGTTTATTAATTAATTATTATCTTGCCAGAGGTTTGTCATTTCTTGGGGGAGCTTTTCAAAGAATCAGCCTTTGGTTTCATTGATTTTTTTTTTTTATTTAAAAAATAATTGATTTCTGCTCTTTATTTCCTTTCCTCCTGCTTTATTTTTATTTCTTCTTCTAGTTTCTTAAAATAGAAGCTTGGATCATTGAATTGAAAGCCATTTTATTATTGTTGTTTTAGCTATATACTTCATTCTATTGCCTTATCAGCATTTCACAAATTTTTCTAATGTGGTTTTGTTTTCATTCGGTTTGAGATATTTCTAAACTCTGATATCCTTTTTGACCTATAGGTTATTTGAAAGAATATTAAGCATTTCTTTTTTTTTTTTAAAGATTTATTTATTTATACAAGCACTGGGTACAGTCAGAAGCGCGGGAGGCTAACAGAATTCACCAGAGCCAAAACGGGCAGCAGAACAGGCAGAAGGACCGAAGTACACTGCTGAGGGGAGCAGAGGGCGGCAGGAGAGGTCTGCATACTATGTGGGACCCTCGCTGGCGGCCGGGGATGGAACTGGCGCTGCAGAGGCTGCGGGCAGCTTCGCAGCCCAGCGCTCAACCGATGCGCCACCAGGGGACGCCCCAGAATATTAAACATTTCTAAAGTTGGGATGTTTTTTAAATATCTTTCATTTGCTAATTTATTGTTTAATTTCATTATAGCCAGAATATTTTATGATTTCAGTTCTTTTAAATTTGTTGCGGTTGGTTTGTTGTCTATAATGTATATATCATAATGAATATTCTGTGTGCACTTCTGTGTGTAGTCTGATATTATTAGGTCTAGTGGCAGATAGTATTTTTTAGATCTATCCTTACCTATCTATTATATCGATTACTAGAAAGAGTATTTGAAGATTCTAAAATAATTGTAGAATTTTTTATTTCTCTTTTTTATTTTTATTTTTTATTTTATTTTATCTTTTATGTTTTCCTTCATGCATTTTGAAGCTTTGTTGTTAAAACACATTGTTAGGTCTCCTTGGTAAACTGATCCTCTTACCACTCTTATCACATAATGCTCTTTTTTATTGCTGATAATACTCCTTTTTGAAGTTTGCAGGATGTTAATGTAGTGCTCCAGTTCTGTTTTGATTGTTTTACGTGATGTATTTTTTTCTGTTTTACTTTCAAGTTTTCTTTGTCTTCTGAGTGACATGTAGGTAGCTTTTGCGTGTGTAGTTATTATTGTTTATACACAACTAGCTGTCTCTGTCATCTAATTGGTGTGTTCAGAGTTTTACTTTTAATGTAATTATTGGTGTTGTTGGATTTTATCTACATACAATTTTTTGGTTTAATTACTGTTTTTTGTCATCAGTTTTTCCTTGTTTTTTCCTGTCTTTCCTTCTTTGTGTACTATTTTAAAGTTTATTAGTATTCATATTACGTTACTTAATGGACTTCTTGTTTTCTGTCTCTGTGTATGTGTTTAGTGTTTGCCCTAACGATAACAATACTTAAACCTAACCATTTATTGTCCTATTAGAGTTATTATTGTACCTTTACAAATATAATGCAGAGCTTTACAACCACCTGGGTTCATTTCCTCCCTTCATTTATGTTACAGTTTGCACATGTATTACATCTCCTTCTGTGAACATCTTACCAGTGTTAAATTTTTGCTTTCATAGACATACATTTTCTATGTAAGAAAAGTGATCCATTGTATTTCTAATTAGTTACCATTTCTGTGTGTCTTCCTTTATTTCTGAAGGTCCAAGTTCTTGTTACTTTCTCATACCATCTATTTTCAGGCTGAAAAACTTAACACCTCTCTATTTTTTTTTTTTTTTTAAAGAGCTGACTTAGGGACACCAGATTCTTATAGTTTTATTTCATCTGAAAATGTTACCATTTTATTTTTTTTTATAATAAATTTTATTTTTATATTCCCCATACAATTGCAACCCGCCCATTCTGACTCCAATCCCTCCCCTCCCGCCCCCCACCCCCCAAAAAGTGTCTCTGGTTCATAGTTTTTTGTTGATTTTGATTTTCACTTTCTTATAGTTATTCATTTCCTGGTCCCTTATTTAAGTTTTCTAGATTCCTGCTATGAGTGAGACCATCCGGTATTTTCTTTTTCTTTTTGGCTTATTTCACTGAGCATGATCCCTTCCAGTGCCATCCATGTTGCTGCAAATTGCATGTGTTTATCTTTTTTGAATGCTGAGTAATATTCCATGGTATATATGTACCACATCTTCTTGATCCAGTCATCTATTTTTGGGCATTTGGGCTGTTTCCAAAGCTTAGCTATTGTAAACAGTGCTGCTATAAACATAGGTGTGCAGATGCTCTTTGGAATTGATATTTCTGTGTCCTTTGGGTAAATACCTAGGAGTGGAATTGCTGGATCATATGGAAGCTCTATGTTTAGTAGGTCCAGAAATCTCCACACAGCTCTCCATAGTGGTTGGACCAGTTTGCACTCCCACCAACAGTGCAGGAGAGTTCCTTTTTCTCCACAACCTCGCCAACATTTGTTGTTGCTAGTTTTTTTAATATGTGCCATTCTCACTGGTGTAAGATGGTATCTCATGGTAGTTTTGATTTGCATTTCCCTGATGACAAGTGATGTTGAACATTTTTTCATATGCCTGTTGGCCATTTGCATTTCTTCTTTGGAGAAGTTTCTTTTTAGCTCTTCTGCCCATTTTTTGACTGGGTTATTTTCTTTGTTGTTGTTGAGTCTCATCAGCTCTTTGCAGATTTTTGTGATCAGTCCTTTATCATTAGTATTGGGTGCAAAAATGTTCTCCCAGTCAGTGGGGTTTCTCTTTGTTTTTGTTATTGTCTCTTTTGCTGTGCAGAAGCTCTTTAATTTGATGTAGTCCCAGCTGTTGATCTTTGCCTTCACTATCACTGCTTTGGGTGATGTATCTGTAAAGATGTCTTTGATGTGCAAATCACGTAGTGTTTCACCTATATTTCCTTCTATATATTTTATGGTTTCAGGTCTTATGTCTAGTTCTTTAATCCATTTTGAGTTGATTTTTGTGTATGGTGTGAGGTAGTGGTCAAGCTTCATTCTTTTGCATGTAGCAACCCAGTTTTCCCAGCACCATTTATTGAACAAACTTTCTTTGCTCCAATGCATAGTCTTTGCTCCTTTGTCAAAGATTAGTTGACCATAAATCTGTGGGTTTATTTCTGGATTTTCTCTTTGATTCCATTGGTCTGTATGTCTGTTCTTGTTCCAATACCATGCAGTTTTGATGATTATGGCTTTGTAGTATAGTTTGAAGTCTGGGAGTGTGATGCCTCCATTTCCTTCTTTCTTTTTCAGGAGAGCTTTGGCAATTCGGGGTTTTTTGTGATTCCATATGAATTTCATCAATTATTGTTCTATTTCTTTGAAGAATGCCATTGAGATTTTGATTGGAATAGCATTGAATCTGTATATTGCTTTTGGTAGGATGGCCATTTTAATAATGTTTATTCTTCCAATCCATGAGCAGGGGATGTCTTTCCATTTCTTTGTGTCTTCTTCTATTTCTTTTAACAGTGTTTTATAGTTTTCTTTGTATAGGTCCTTTACCTCTTTTGTTAGATTTATTCCCAAATATTTGATTTTTTTTGTTTCAATGATAAAAGGGATGGTTTTTTTGATTTCTTCTTCTTCAGATTTATTGTTTGTGTATAGGAAGGCTACTGACTTTTGTGTGTTGATTTTGTATCCTGCCACTTTACTGAACTGATTGATGAGTTGAATTAGTTTTTCCGTGGAGTTTTTGGGTTCTCTATGTATATTATCATATCATCTGAAAATGTTACCATTTTAATTTCATTCCTGAAGACTATGTTTGCTGGCTATGGAATTCTGGGTTGATACAGATTTTGTATCACTGTCCGGGTTAATCCAATTGTTTCCTTAAATGTAATCATTTCTTTTTCTTTAATTGCTTCAAGATTTTTAGTTTTGGTTTTCAGCCATTTAAAAAAAATAATATATTGTATATATTTTACATCATTGTTCATTTTTGTACAATGTTTGCTTTCTTTTCTCAGGTGTAGTCCTCATAGAATTTCCACCACCAGTTCACCTGTGCACCATCACCATAGTCCCTTGTGTAAGAACACATTGCCTCCTCTGTTTAGATCCCTCTCTCTCCCTCCCCTGCAGTCTCTGATTAACCCTTGCCTGTTAATTTTGTTTTTTAATTTATTATAATTATTTTTTTCCTGTTTTTTTTCCCCAAACAAATCTCTCACATATTTGTTACCGAGCAAATCTATTAGTTTCAGAAGCACAGAAAAAGTTTTCTAAACATGTCTAAATAGTGATGTTTTCAGGGTGATTTGGGAAGAGACTGGTGATACTGATATGTCATAAATGTGTTGTTGCAAGTGTGATTACTCATAGACCCAGCTTACTTCTTCTTCAGTATTTCCTCTTAGAATTGTACCTGGTTTTATTGCTAGTTTTCATCTGAATCCATTGGACAATGGGGCAGCTCTCCTTTTGTTTCTTGGCTTGGAATTGCTTGATCCTGAAAGTCTTTCTAGAAGACATGGTGAATAACAGAGGCAACCATATGCAACTTGATGGCCGAGAAAAGGAGAGAAAAAAGATAAGCCAATATTCGTGATATGGGGGGGTCTTTTTCCCCAAAGTTGTCCTTTTTAGAATTTGTTCCCGAATCTGGAATTTGTCTTTCACCAAATTGGTGGCATTTTTAGCTGTCATTTCTTGAGATGTTTTCCTCACTACTCACTTTCTAAAATTTTAGCGACATAAATGCTACTTTTTTTATATTATTCACATAAAAGGTTCAGTGTTTTTTTTCTCCCACATTTTTTTCCCACTTTTTCAGATTGAATATTTTTAATGATCCATCTTTTCAAGTTCACTGACTTCCTCTCAAGATTAAAGGATGTGAAATTTTATTAGCCTTATAAACTAACAAATTAACTGTTTTGTTCCTGGAAGAAGACATAAGGGGCTTGATTCAAAGCATATCAAGCACCACCAGGACCATATCTGTGACAATTTCTCTGACCCCTCTTGTGCCAGGATGGTAGGGCCCAGGCTAATACCCACCCTGTCTTTGGTTTGTGTCACAATCTGAGGAACCTAAGATTAGGGAACTCCAAAAATTTACACCTGTTGTTAAATCTGCCTGTTTGCTCGAGAGGAAGTAATTAATTTCATCATACTGGTGATGAGACAGTCCTGCTCTTTGCTTGGGAAAGAAACATTTATCTCTGTTTTACAAGTCTGTTCACCATACAAACATTTTTTTTTTTTTTAAATAGCCTAAAACAAGGGCTTTGCTTGCAAGAAACATGAGATAATTCATTATAATGTTTCTGATCGATTCCACAAATGTGCAGTTTTGAGGTGAACCCATGATTTGTTTAGCTTCACTGATAGAATTAAGAGACCCTCTTTTCCATTTTTCTTACCTGAGATTCCCATCCTACAACTACTAGTTCCTCAGGAGCCTCTTCTCTAGTTCTTAGGCTAGAAATACAGGGTTCTCTCAATATTTTAGTTTCTTGCATTTTCATACATTTTTACTGAGTTTGGGCCTGCCTTGTAGAAAGAACAGTTAAAGCAGGGAAAGAATATACTATGATGATGATGGAGAATTTCTGTCTCCTATTTTTCAGACTACTGGGTCTCCTTTTCCTGGTTCAGCTGGGTAGAGAAGTAGATTTCTGTTATGGTTTTAGATACCAACCCTATCATCACTGCTGCTGTCAAGTAGCTAAGTAGATATTTGTTGCCTCAGGGCAGGGTCAGGAGAGAAAATGGACTTGAGGGAAGAAGAAAAAGAAGAATTTCCACTTACATGTTCTAGGTTGGAGGGCCCCTAGGGTTATAACCAGAAAGACAAAGTTTTTCTTGGAGTCATAATGTAGCTCTGCAGTTTACACTATTCTCAAGAAAAGCTGGAAGAGAAAAGAAAAAAAGTAAAGCTCACATTAACACACCATTTTTCATGTTTTGCCTTCTTCAATCTGCCTGTTATTTCTAGATTATTGTTTTTTGCTTTTTTTTTTGGAATGTTTATTGTTAATCAGTGAGAGAAAGACTTAATGAACTTATTTAATCTTGGTTGGAATCAAAAGTACTGCTTTTTAATTGAAATCAGCAGCAACCTTGGAACTTTTAATAACAGTTTTCTCTAGTGCATTAGTAGGTAACGATGCAAGGAAAGAAAAGACTATGTGTTTATTAAAAGCACTTATGTCTCTTAACTACATAGTTTCTACAACTATAATTCTAATCACCTAGAACCTGTGCTCCAGCCAGAGAAGCCATCAGCATTCCCTTCCACTATAACTTCCTCCTCTAGCTGCCTCTTGTTCTATATTCCTTTTCATCCAATGGAATACAACTATTTTTGTACTAACTAGGGACCCAGGAGAGGTATGGAGAGGCAGAGGCAGAGATAAGTGAGTCCTGATAGCCTTTAGTGAGTCACTGCTCTATGGCTGTTCCATAGGGCAAGGCACTGGCTGCTCACGGCATGACACCCAAAGGAAGCGCATGCCTCATCGTCACTCCATCATGGGGTGACTGCTGCTGCCACACTTGCTGCTGGAGTTGCCTCTCGACTCCATTTCCATCCCACCAGCCATCTTGCTTGGGCTCTGAACTGTGAGACAAATGGTCCATTTTGTTACATAAGCATCTTCTTAGTTTTTCTCGCATTATAGTATTAGAACTGTGACTACCTAAGATGTGAACATTCAATTGTAGGAACATTAAAGATTGTAAATTATCTAATATGTTAGAGATATATTCTGCATTATAATGTCCACTTTGAAAGCCATACATGTTGTTAAGGAATTTAAGAGGGCAAAATTAGTCTGTTTTATTCATTTCCCTTGCTTTTCCTACATCTGTTGTTTTTCCTTCATTTAGTCTTCCTTCTTGTATGATTTATCTTCCACAGAAAAATTTCCTTCAGAGCGTTTTTTTAGAGCTGGTCTATTCATGAATTCTCATATTTGTTCTTCATCTGAAAACTATTTCACCTTCTTTCCTGAAGGATATTTTTGCTCAGTTAGCTTTGGGTATTTTAGGTCAATATCTTAGCTCTTTGAAAGTGTTCTACTGTTTTATAACTCTAGCCTTAGTGATTTATGAGAAACCCTTAGTCACTTGAATCTCCCTATAAAAACATACTGTTTTTTAAAATCTGTGATGCATTTTAGTTGATTTTTCTAAAGGGTGTAAATGTAACAGGGTGGTCCCCAGGGAAGGGGGAGGTTCCCTGCCCCACCCAAGGGAGGGTGGAGCTGAGCAGGAAGAGGAGAAGCGGCAGAAGAGACTGAGGAAGAAAGGAAGCAGGATGGAGCCAGGAGACCTGGAGGAGGCGCATGGAGCCTAGAGACATGTAAAGAAACTGTGCTTGTCTTTTGGTCGTGGACTGGGTGACACAGATGTGGGTGAGACCTGTGGGGAGGTGACAATGGCAGCTTTTATCTTGATGTTGATTTTGCTCTTTTCCTTCCGGGCTTGTCTGGTTGTTTGTGACCCTTTTCTGTGGGTCCCCACTGGAAGATGTTTTAGACTTGTGGTAGACTTTGGGGCCTGTTCTGGCCGATCCCATATGGATGGAGTTACCACGAGGGGACGGGTAACTTTGGGTGTTTCATTTAGAAACTAGACTCTTTGCCTTACCTGTATTGTTTCCTAGTTTTATTAAAGTTCCTTCCCATTAAAGTCTCCTATGTTTGTGTTGATGCGGCGGATGGCAGAACCCATTTAGAATAGGCAGGTTTGCGGGGTTTGGGCTGCCCCTTTCCTGTCCTATAACAGATTGTGTAGGCAAGACAGACACAAGGACATACAGACATACAACATATAGACAAAGACAGTTTTTTTAGTTATGCCACGTAGAATATGTTATGTACTGCAGTTTTACTCCATAGGCTCAGAAAAAAAAGTCAAAGTCCAAAAAATGTGGAGTGTTGCTGGCAGAAAATTTCCAGTTGTCATCCTGTTATAGGACAGGGAAAGGGGCAGCCCAAACCCCGCAAACCTGCCTATTCAAATGGGTTCTGCCATCCGCCGCATCAACACAAAACATAGGAGACTTTAATGGGAAGGAACTTTAATAAAACTAGGAAACAATACAGGTAAGGCAAAGAGTCTAGTTTCTAAATGAAACACCCAAGTTACCCGTCCTCGTGGTAAAACTCCATCCATATGGGATCGGCCCAGAACAAGGCCCAAAGTCTACCACAAGTCTAAAACATCTTCCAGTGGGGACCCACAGAAAAGGGTCACAAACAACCAGACAAGCCCGGAAGGAAAAGAGCAAAATCAACATCAAGATAAAAGCTGCCATTGTCACCTCCCCACAGGTCTCACCCACATCTGTGTCACCCAGTCCACGACCAAAAGACAAGCACAGTTTCTTTACATGTCTCTAGGCTCCATGCGCCTCCTCCAGGTCTCCTGGCTCCATCCTGCTTCCTTTCTTCCTCAGTCTCTTCTGCCGCTTCTCCTCTTCCTGCTCAGCTCCACCCTCCCTTGGGTGGGGCAGGGAACCTCCCCCTTCCCTGGGGACCACCCTGTTACATAAAGACTGTATTTAAATTCAGCAATATTTGTTGAAAAGATTCTATCTTTGCTCCATTGTTTTGCCTTTGCTTGTTTGTCAAAGATCAGTTAACATTATTTATATGGGTCTATTTTAGGCACTCTGTTTTATTGTTCTGTTGATCTTCTTACTCTTTCACCAATACCTTACTGCCTTGGTTTCTGTAATTTTGTAGTAAGTCTTGAAATTAGGTATCTTCAGAAATTTGTTCTTCTCTTTCAATATCGTGTTGATTGTTCTGGATCTTCTCCATATAACTCTCCATATATACTTTCTGATCATTTTATTGCTTTAACTTGCTGAAATTTTTGGGGGCATTGTGTTGAATCTGTAGCTCAACTTGGGAAGAACTGACTTGTTGACAGTATTGATTCTTGCTATCCATGAACATGGAATATCTCTCTATTTAATTCTTTGATTTCACTCATCAGAGTTTTGTAGTTTTTCTCATGTAGGTCTTGTGTTATTTTATTAGGTTTATACCTAAGTTTTTCAATTGGGGTGGGGAGTCTTACAGTAAATGGTATTGTATTTTTTAAACTTTATTAATTAATTGATGGCATAGAGGGAAGTGGTTAATTTTTTATGTTAAACTTGTTTCCTGCAGCTGCTATATAATTGTTCATTGGTTGCTGGAGCTTTCGGCTGCTTCTAGATTTTCTTTATAGATGATTGCCTGATTTGTGAACAAAGACAGTTTTGTTTTCTCCTTCCCAATCTGTATACCTTTTCTTCTCTTGTATGATTGCATTAACTGGGGAGTCTTTTGAAAGGCAGTAGTGAAAGGGAACATCCTGGCCTTGTTCCTGATTTTAATGGGAAAGCTTCAAGTTTCTCACCAGTAAGTATGCTGAAGGTTTTGGTAGATACTTTTTCTCAAATTGAGGAATCAACCTCTAGTTAACTGTATTTTACTGAGGGCTTTTATCATGGATGAGTGTTGGTTTCATTCTGCTAATACATTTTTATGTAGCTATGCTTTAGCTGTTTTAAATTTTTTAGTAAGCGGATAATACTTAAAATGTAGTGTGGTAAGAGGAATTATGATGAAGTCTTGCTAATATTATGGGACTATATAAGGCAGTGACCTAACCACAAGTGTGATCCTTCTATTCCATTCCTAGGTAAATACTAAACAGAAATTTGTCCATATAGTCTCTGAAGGATAATATTTATTGGAAACTTCTTCAAGCACAATTGATAGTACTGTTGCATCTCCCTCCCTCCCAGTCTGTGGCATCCCCAGTGGATACCAAAAACCATGGAAAGTACTGGTTTTCACTATGCATACTACATTACTTATGATAAAGTTTAATATTATAAAGTATATACAGTAAGAGATTAACAACAATAATGAGACTAAGCCATGTCCTGTTACTAAAAGTTCTGTGAATGTGTGGTCACTGTCTCTAAAAATACCTCATTTTACATATTATTTTCGGACCTCTGTTGATCACAGGTAACTGAAACTACAGATGAGGGTGGATTACTGTGTAAAAATCTGGATAACCACCAAAATGCCCAATAGTAGAAGAACCTGCTGTTCACACAAAGGAATATTTTACAGCAAGGGTGATCTATTACTACACACAGTATAAAAGAATTTCTATAACATTAGAAAAAAATATATATATACATACATACATACATATATATATATATATATATATATATATATATATATAAAAAACATCAGAACAAAAACCAAGCACAAAAGAATATATTCTGTATGGTTGTGGTTTTACAAAGAGCAAATATCCAAGCTAGTAGAAGTGAGGGTAGACAGAGGCTAAAGAATAGAGTTTCTGTGGTTGATGATTATGTTCTCTCTCTGAAAAAAAATATTTTTGGTATAAACAATTTCGCTTTTATGTTATACTTCAATAAAAAGTTTTTAATACTATTGGTTTCAACTACTCTTAGAAAACTGTTAAGGGTTTTTTTTTAATCTTGTTTTACATTTTGAATGTAGAAATTTTTTTAAAAAATGTTTCTTAATTCTACTAGTATTAAACTTTCCTCTTATAGTAAAACAGTGTTTTGAACTTGTTACACATCAGTTGGGTTTTTAGTGTCTGTTTTTGGTTTATATAGTAATCAATATCATTATATTGTGACTGTAAAACACATTAAATTTTTTTTGTTGTTAATTCTAACTTAGCATGACAAAATTTGTATCTCTAAAGAGGACTACACAAGATTTTTGTTGTACGTAATTTTGTGAGGGAGAAGATGAGTAAAAAGTGTGTTTTTGGTTCATTCTTAGTGTCAGAGGAGGGGCTATAAATAGCTGGCATTGTTCTTTTCTCCCTTCTTATCAAGAGATTGTTCTATTTCTGTAGCATAAGAGACATAATTATAAAATAAATGTGCCAATCCATTATCTATATTGTTTTTAACAGTCAAGTCCTTCATCTCCAGAACCAGCTAGTCTTCCTGCAGAAGATATTAGTACAAACTCCAATGGCCCAAAAACTTCAGATGTTGTGCTAGATGATGACAGAGAAGATCTTTTTGCAGGTAATTATAAATATTTTTATTTTTCAGAAAATGGCCTCTTGTGTATATACTGTTAGACAGAAAATACCTCTAAAGCACAACTGAGGTATGGCATATAGTATTAGTGGCAGCTAGTCTTGTTAACAATTTACAAAGACAGGAGATTTCCAAATGTATGACTTTAGGTTACATTGTGAAAAATATAGACTGCTTAGGAAAGCAAAAATGTGATCCTTTCTGGTTAAAATCATTTGAAAATAAATTACGCAATTGTAATTTTTACGGTCAGTACTTAGACTCAAAGAAATAATGGCTATGGCATTCAGTACTTTGTGAAATAGCAATGACTTTATTTTTCATTACTTACAAGTTGTCACAAAGCAAAATTACACTGCTTTTAAAAATTACTTAATTTGTACTCTATTTGAAATATGTTTTAATGTAATGCTGCAGTATTTGTTTACTGCCTGTTCTGTTTTGATTCACCTGAGACTTGAGGAATTTATTTTTGATAAGGAGGCAGGATTTGGTATAGTCTGTCCTAACTTTAAAATAATTGCACTCTCTTTAAAAGAGTTATCTGTTTTAAGGTTAAAATTTAGCTACAAATTTATGTTTGGATATTAAAAAGCAAAATATTCCTTAGAATTCATAACACAAAAAATTAAAATAGTAAATCATTGTGTTTAATAGCTTAACTGAACTCGCTTTCACTGAGTAAAATTTAATAGTCCTCAGGTTTTATAGTGGTTGAATATTCAAACCATTCTGTGCTTTTTTTGTGCAAACATGTTTGGAGATACATCATAGAGATTCACATAATTTCCTGTTTGATTAGTTCCATGAAAAATTTTCACTGCAGATGAGTTAATTGTATTCTATATTCTATCATGTCAGGAAATTAAAAATATAATACAAAATGCTAGTGATATTTTCTTTTGGTTTTTACCTAACAATTTAGAGCAAAATCACAGTTAACCAAAGCTGTTACACTTCTTTTTGTTTCCTTTCATGGACTTTTTTCTAGGCTGTTCTTAAAAGTTTTTTTCATGGCATTTATTTATATTTTAATCTCAGAGATGACAAATCCCTTCTTTTTTTTTTTTTTGTTTTTTTTTTAGATTTTTTTTTATTTTAACATTTATCATTTTTTACATTTTTAGACAATATTTCCTTCCCCCCCCATCAGATTGAGTCCCCATAGAATTTCCTTCCCCAAAGCACCCGTGCACCATCACCACAGTCCCCTGTGCTCCTCCCTCCCTCCCTCTCACCCCTCTCCCTCCTCCTCTTAATAGGACTAATCTAAAATTGTGTGTACTGGGCCTCCCCAGTGGCGCAGCGGTTGAACGCTGGGTTGCTAAGCTGAAGCTGCCCGCAGCCTCTGCGGCGCCGGTTCGATCCCTGGCTGCTCCCCGGCCACCGGAGGAGGGTCCCACATGGCGCGCAGACCTCTCCTGCCGCCCGCTGCTCCCCTCAGCAGTGTACTTCGGTCCTTCTGCCTGCGGTCCTTCTGCCTGCTCTGCTCCCCGCTCTGGCTCTGGTGAATTCTCGCACCCTCCCGTGCTTCTGACTGTACCCAGTGCATGTATAAACAAAATGAACAAACAAACAAACAAATAAATAAATAAATAACATGCCTCTATTAAAAAAAAAAAAAGTTAGAAAAAAAATAAAATTGTGTACTACTTTAGTAGTATAGGGGCATACATAGAAATTTGGATTGTACTTTCTGTTAAGATTTTTTATTTAACAATTTCAGAATTCTGTATAAATGAACATGGTAAAATTTTACTCTAAAAACAGTTCCCTGTGTGTGTCTATGAAAAGAAGATAGTGTGCACAGCTAGCCAGTTAGCCAAGTGAGGACACTGCAATGATTTTTGGCAACTGTCTGATCATTTTTATAAGAATGAATACTATTCTTGTACTTTATAATAGTTTTTTTGGAAGGTATGCCTTCTTTCTGTGGACGTATGGTTCAAGGATATCTTAAGACAGTATAGCATATGTTGTCAGGATAGTGAAAAATAATGATCTTGTGATGAGAACATATACTTAATTTGTTTTTCCTATAGCAGAGGAGAGTACATAGATGTACTTAGCTTTGATTTTAAAACCATAGAGTAAACTGTTTTGGTATATGTACTAATATGTTTTGGGTATGTTTCCAGTATGTCATATGTGGAAACATATGTTTCCAGTATGTCATAAGTGGTACCAGAAGTGGGTAGCACTTAAGTATGTCATAAGTGGTTTTGGGTAGCACTTCAGGTATGTCATAAATGGTACCAGAAAAAGTAAGTGTGACACATATTATTGTTATTACCTGATTTAGAGGATCAAATACTATTGACCACAGAACCCTATTCTACCACTTGTTATATTCGACCTTACCCTTCACTGAACAAATTTTAGGAAACTGTTCTAGAGGGGTAAGTGAGAGTAAGCAAATGCCAATGTTGAAATTGTCCTAGACTTTTAGAATTTGTTTTTATGAAATTCTATTGTATTTATGCTTTACAGCAAATGATGCCAATTTTAAGTTTAATGTGTATTCCTTTGATTAACAAATTCTTTGGTGTCTATTGTATGAGTAATATTTTACTCAGCCAACATTGACATAATTTATACTTTCCTTTAGCTTCCAAGTAATAGTTAATCTTTATACTTAGTAACTATGTTGCATTTTCTAGAACATTAGGTGTGGTTTAAGTTAACTTTCTGAATTTATGGTATATTAGATTACTGACACTGAAAGATGTCATGAGAAGAATTTAAGGCAGTATGCTGAATCTAAATTTCTATTGTTTCATTTCCCTCTTCCATGTTTGCTACTTAGATCATATTTAGCATTTCTTATTTTGAGGTGTTTTATTTATGAAACAGCCTGTCATAGAACGCAAAACTGGTAGTAGTGAAGTAAAATATAATTGAAAGTTTAAAATGGCTTTTACCTGTACTGATACTAAGTTACTAAATATTTCATTTTGTCTATTGGTTGGTTGCCAAAAGCAACAGCAGCTTTCTCCAAGTACTTCAAGTTTCTTTTTTTAGTTTGCTTCTTGTTTGTAGTCTACAGATCTCACATCTCCTAATTTGACACACTGCTTGCTTTTTTATATTGTTCTTTGGTTTCATTTCTTTGTAAGTAAAGTACTAGCAATCTTAACAGTCTCAATTGCATGTCAACTTTTAATTTATTAACATTATACATTCAACATCTGTAGTCTATTTTCCTTTTACCATAGTTGGAAAGATTTTGGCTCCTTAATCCTTTTTTGTTTTTAATATGAAAATATAAAGAGCGCTGTCCCAAATAAGGATCTCATTAACAGGAGATAACCAGAAAGAATAGCTTGATAAATGTTAACCTGTGCAATCTTATTTTAGGAAAAGGTGTTGATGTCTGTATTTTTTCAGGTATTAAAATTAAAATGGCTGATTCTCATTACTACCTTCCCAAACTTCTAGCAATTTCAGAACATCAGGTTAGAAACCACTGGTCTGATCCCTCACAGTCCTGTCTGCCTTATCCTACTATCAGTTTTCTAAACCAGCAGAACTGTTAGGATTGTGGCCATAATTTTACTTCTAGCTTTTATTTTTGCTTATATTGTTATTCCATTTTCATAGAGCTCTCCCTCCATGTTCTTGACTCATCCAGATCTTCTCAGATTGATTTCAGAAACTTCTCATGATTTTCCCCAGCCTAAAACTCAAATTATAGTGTTTGTGCTATAGTTCATGTAACAATTAAATATCTTGTAACATTCTTCTTATTGTTCTCTTGGCTTTATTTGTCTTTTTATTATTATTTAACATTCCACATGCTTATGTCTTGTTTTCCCAAATAGATTTTAAACTCCCTGAGGGCAGGTATGATATTTTACATTTCTTTGTGTTTCTCCACTGCATTTAGCACAATGTTACACAGCTTGTAGACGGTTTATTGATTTGATTTTGTTTTAAATATATTTAATTGTAGATCTTTTAAGTGAATGAGCATTATAAATTAAAACCTAAAGACCCATGTTTTGTGTCATATTTGCGTATTCAACTAATATCCAGTGTTCTTTGGCACTTAATTGCTTTAGATTACTGACTGGATTCTACATAACAAACTTTTAATCCTAGCTAGGATAGTGCTGGCAACCTTCTATCATAAAATTTGTATGTATAAATAATTAATGTTAGGGTAAAGAAGAGATTTGGAAAGGTAAGTTACCACAAGTATAATATATATGACAAGTCCAAATACAAATGACTGTGGGATTTTACTATGTCATTGCTTCACTAGCTTCATCCCTACCAATAGTATATATCATTAAGTTAATTTACTAGAAGTCTTCCTTAAATCAACAAAGTCACTGTTGATTTTAAAGTTTTGACAAACAAGGAAGGATTCATAAAATTATAACAACTTTTTAAATAACATTGTAATATTTATGGAGAGTATGAAAACATTTTTCATAGTACATTAACTGCTGTATAGACTATGGGGTCTTGCTGGTCGGGTCCTTAACTAACTTACCTCATTTGTGTCTAGAAGCCACAGAAGAAGTTTCTTTGGACAGTCCAGAAAGGGAACCAATCCTCTCCTCAGATCCTTCTCCTGCAGTCACGCCTGTGACCCCTACTACACTCATTGCTCCCAGAATTGAATCAAAAAGTATGTCTGCTCCTGTCATCTTTGATAGGTCCAGAGAGGAGGTATGGGAAAATGTTTATGTTACAAATTAATATGTAGATAGTAAGGTTTTTCTCAATGGCATCAGTCTCCTGTTAGCCCTCTCTAATAGCCTTAGATGTTTTGGAAAAGGAACATTGTACTAAAGAAGTTGGTCATCTGGGTTGTAGTTTTATCTTCACATCTTAATCAGCGGTTTGGGCACATCATTTACCTTCTTAGGTCAATGAGTTTGTCATTTGTGGTCTTCTGATGATGTTCTGTGCCTTCAGAGTTCCCATGTGGTCAAATGCAAATGTATGAAAGTGCTTTGAAAACTTTAGTTAGGTGATATTTGAGTAATGTGCTTTGATGAAAGTGTGCAGTAATGTTAGAGGTTTTGCTGGGAAAGTAACATAAGGGTTTTCACTAGACAAGCAGAGAAAGAAGGGGGCCTTGGAGGGTGTGAGAATGGTGTTTCTTTATCAAGGTTTGGTTCCAAAGATGTTGTTACTTTGTGAAAGTTTATTGAGATGTACATTTAGGATTTACATACTTTCTGTATTATGCTATAGTTCAGATAAAGTTTATTTTTACAAAATATGTACCAAAAAAGGTAATAGTTAGAAAAAAATCACTTTACTTTTTGATAGTCTTAAATTAGTAATACTCTTTGAAAATGTGCAAGATTTAATTATTTGTGTTTTCTTTTCGAGAACAATGAACTTCCCTATGAAGCTGCTCTTTGGACTGTTTGTTTATAATGGCATTAAAAGCACATCTCTGTAGTCTCCTTTTTACTGCTCTTTTTCAATGGGCTTATAGTACTTTCATTGACTTTAAGATAATCAGAGAAGTCATAGTGTTAAATTTGCTTTTATGATAATTTGTATAGATATGTAGGATTCTGCTCATAAAAATAAGCGCCACCTCCTGATTATTAAAGAATAGAGACACAACTCTGAAAAAGGCTGATATTAAAAATAATTAAGGAATTAGTAGAACAAAAAATTCCACAACGTGTATACAGAAGACTAAAGATGCAGAAGATGTTTTCTGTATTTGAAGAGTTGTAAGAACACCAAGTTTTCTGTTATTTCCACAAATGATTTACATAATTAGGAAATGTGAAAGCTTTTTAAGAAATGGAGTACTGAATGGTTTTTTAAATTGTTTGAGAGTGACTAAAAAAACATAGGTGGTAAAATTTTAGTTATAGGTGTTACATCAGTAGTATAAATTGAAGTCTTTAACACCAAAAAAATTTTCTTTTCTAGATTGAAGAAGAAGCAAATGGAGACATGTTTGATATAGAAATTGGTGTATCAGATCCAGAGAAAGTTGGTGAGTCGATATTTATTTTATTTTGTACTTGCTTTTTGATAGTTAATGTGTTGTTTTACTTTACTAAGTCTATTATTACATTATTAGGACCATACTTTTTAAATTTTTGAGGGGGGATTGTTTCTTATTTTGTCCCCCCCATCTTTATTGAGTTATACCTGACAAAAATAGCATATTTTAAAAATTCATATATTTCAGGTGTATAATGTCATGATTTCACATTATGAAATGATTAGAACAATCAAGTTTATCAGCACATCACCTCACAGTTACCTTTTCATGTATGTGTTTGTGTGTGAAATTTATGACTTTTTAATAGTATTATTTTACTTTTCTTATAGGTGATGGCATGAATGCTTATATGGCATATAGAGTAACAACAAAGGTGAGTGTTTTGTTCCTTTAAAAATGTATGTGTGGTATGAGGATACAATGATAATTAAGGTGTAAGTTATCACTGTCTTTCAAAGGTTACCATCCAAAAAGGATGATAGTTAAGCAGTTACGATGAGTTGTGAGTGAGTTTTGGTAGGCATTCTATGAGAGTATACAGGAAGGGAGCTAATGTAGACCCCAGAGGTCAGAAAAGCATCTCTGGGGGAAGTAGTATGTGAGCAAAGGCAAAGGTAGGAATGATTGGTGGGGGAGAGGAGAATTGAAAGAAATGGAAGAATGCTTGTTGCAGACAAAGGGATTTATGCATGTTAAAAGCTAGAAGTCAATCACTCATTGTGCCTTCTAGGATCTACAAGAGGTGGTGGTGCCTGATCGAAATGTTTGGCAATAAACTTGTCTGCATTATGAACAATCACCACATTAAGAAATTTGGGTTTCATCCTAAGTATAATTGAAAGGCATTGATGATGTTCAAACAAGAGTGTGTTCTCAATTAGATTTTCATTTTCAAAAGATCTCTCTATGCTTGGTATGAGTGGGAGAGTGAAAGTAGAGGGAGGATTTTCACTAAAAGGATAACACATTTCTTAAAGGACTATAGGCCTTCAAGTCTTAAAAGACAGAAAGAGAATCTGCAGCAGTGAGAAGTAGTACTTTATATTAATGAAACAGTACTGAAGTTGAGCAAAAGAAAGGATTTCTTATGTAAGAGATACAATCAATAAGGCTTACATGAAGGAGCGAGGAAGGAAGGATGCTAAAGTTGTGCTTGTCAGAGTAATCCCAGAGAAAAGGCAACACAAGGGGAGAACACAGTATAGCTGGAGTGAGATTTGTTAATTCACTGAATAGGTATTTATTGAACAATTACATGAGGTCAGGCTCTGTTCAAGCGCTGGGATAGCAGAAAACAGTAAGACAAGTATTCATCTCTCATGGAAGTTATGCTCAATTGGGAAAGGGGGAAATTTCAGGTTACAGTAAAATTGCAGTGTAAGTGTTCATGGGCATTTCAGTATATTCAGCTAAAACTGAAAATCAGGAAATCTGGACCAGAGGTATAGATTTGAGAATTATTGGTATAAATATAAGTAGAGTCCATGAAATGAGACAAGGATAGAATAAAGTAGATCATTTCTTTTTGTTGTTGTTGTTTTTGTTTTATATATATTTTACATCATTCTTCATTTTTGCACAATGTATGCTCTCTCCTCTCAGGTATGATCCCCGTGAAATTCCCACCACCAATTCACCCGTGTACCATCCACCATAGTCCTTTGTTAAAGCAGATAATTTCTATCTTAAGTGTCTATAAAATAAAAATCTGTGATTAAAGGCTTTATTTTAGTTCTTAAAAACTGTGTATCACATTGGTCAGCTACTCTGCATTCTTTTGCAAAATTGTGTGTGATCACAATTATGTATAACATTATATTATTACCTAGCATTCAAACTTTGAAATATTTCTCCTTCCCTTCTAGACATCTCTTTCAATGTTCAGTAAGAGTGAATTTTCAGTTAAAAGAAGATTCAGTGACTTTCTTGGTTTGCATAGCAAGTTAGCAAGCAAATATTTACATGTTGGTTATATTGTGCCACCAGCTCCAGAAAAGAGTATAGTAGGTAAGTATGAATCAAAAAATAGTTTTTGCTCCTGTTACTGGTTCAGTTTTAACTCTATAGATTTGTGGATTCCATGATCATTCACTAGCCTCTCATAATATCTTGAGATACTAAATTTAAATATTGGATTTATGACAGTCATACATCAAATAAGAATGTATAGCTAATGATTTTGACTTCTGTAGTACAATGATGATAAATATTGGGTCAGAATTTGCCAAGATGAAAGCAGTCACAAATCCTAATCTTTGAAGTCATTATAGCACCATATTACTGATTAATAGAGGATATTTAATACTATTAAAGTGTTTGCATTTTTCTGAAGAATGGAAGTGTTTGATTCTCAGGTATAGATTGTCCAAAAAGACTTACTCTAAGTTCACTTATATAGGAGCCATGTAAACTTGTAACTCGATTTAACATTTAGAAACATTTCTATTTATACAAGTAATAAAAACTTAGTTAAGTATATGCAGAAAATTATAAAAGGAGAATTTCCATTGTCCCATTAAAGGACATCTGTTATCTTAAAATATTATAGTGTTTTTTCCAGTCTTTTCAGTCATTGATGTTTTTTGCCTACCTTTCTTTTTTTCTTTAGTTTGCCTTTCTTTCTTGTAGATAAGATTATTATTCTGGAAAATATCTTGAATGAATTTTGCTTATCTTTAAATTATTATTTTTACTTTTTAAACATTTGGTATGAAAAGCAGTTTCCCCAAAATAAAAAGCCCAAGACCAGAGGCTTTGTACATGAATTTTAACAGATCTTTAAGGAATAAACTAATGCCATCTTTGGTCAAATTGTTTTTTAAAATATGAGAACATAGAATGTTCCCCAATACATTTTATTATGCCAATATTATCCAAATACGAAATGCAATTAAATAAAACACAAGAAAGGAAAATTATAGTCTGAGACCTCTGTTGAACATCAGTACAGAAATGATCAACACAGTACTAGCTAATGAAATTCAACAGTGTATCACAAGGAGTATACAGCATGATTAAATGAGATTTATTCCAGGGATGTGAGTATGGGTTACTGTACACAAACCAGTGTCAACAAAAGTAAAGATGTATATCGTATAAAGATGTATATCAAAAGTAAAGATGTATATATATATCATAATATCAGTAGATGCAGACAAATCATTTGGTAGGATTCAGTATCACTAAAGATAAAACCCTAGATGGGAGTAGTGGAACTCTACCTCAATACAGTAAAAGCCATATATCACAGACCAACAGTCAAAATGGTATAGTGAAAGATGAAAAGCTTCCCCCTGAAGAGCAAGACAAGGATGCCCATTGCTGTCACTTCCATTTAACTTAGAAGTTTTGGCCAGAGCTGTCAGACAAAAACTGAATATAAGGGGAATCCAAGTTGGAAAAGAAATGAAACTATCACTATTTGCAGGTGTTTTTATGTAGAGAGAAGCCTAAAGCAGCCACCAAAAAGTTACTCAAAAAACAATGTAAAAAAAAAAAAAGATGAATACAGCATAGTAGCAGGCTACAAAATCAACATACAAAAATATTTTAATGTATAAATAATGAACAAGAGAAATCAAGAAAATAACTCATTTTTATTAGTGCTTCAAGAAAAATAATTAACCTGCTAAATGGGGCAAAGGACTTATGCAATGTGAAGTACAAGATGCTATTTAAGGGACTTAGATAGCAATATACAGAGATGGAAGATATCCCATGCTCAACATAATCAGGCTAAATCCTTCCTGAAATGGTATGATAATTTTAATGCAGCATCCATCAAAATATCAACACTATTTTTAAAAGAAATTTAACACAAAATATTGAAATAGAGCCACAAAAGGCCTCAAATTGAAAAAGCAATTGAGAAAAACAGAGAAAGGAAGCTAGCACTTTATCTGACTTCATAATTTAATATAAATTGTCATTTCTGAAAACAATAGACTATTTGCTTAAAGATTAATATATAGATCAATGGAATAGTAACATGATCAGAAGATCCTTGAGTTACAACTTTTTCAGGGAAACGGAATTTGTGAAATAATAAACATTGCACATCTAGTATTTCATTCAGGGTCAGTATTTTTAGGTGAATTTTCTTTTTCATACTGTTACATTTCAGAGAAATTTTATTGAACAAAACATTAATGGGTGATATATATTTATTTATCTGATATACCCACCTGATTTTATATAATTCATTTATAATGTCTTTGAGATATATTTCATATATAACAATCTATCCATTTAAAATGTACAGTTCAATGGTTTTTACTTTATTCAGAGTTGTGCACACATCACAGTTTTAGAATATTTTTATTTTTCCTTATCCATCATCCTCTTAATTTCCCTCTTCCTCCCAGCTCTAGGTAATTATTAATTTTTCTTTTCGGGCATTTGTATAAAGGCAATCATAATACATGGTCTTTTTTGATGTTTCTTTCATGAACCTTAATGCTTTCAAGACTCATTCATACTGCAGTATGTGTCACTGCTTTGTTACTATTTGTTACTACAGTCAGTTTTTGAAAGGAAAAAGAAGAGGTAAAAAGAAAATCTGCATTCTATGTTAATTGTAAAATTGAAATTGCCAGTATAGAAATAACTAGCATGTTTTTTAATTTAAAGAGTTGTAAATGTTTTTATGAAAGACTTTGTTATTTCAACTGTTGTAAAACCAGAAATGATAAATAAACAAGAACGTGTTCTTAGAATCTCAAACAGGAAAAACATTTAGCAAATTCATGGGTTGCACTTTTTATTTTTCTAGTCCCTAATTGAAAAAACATTATTATTGTTTATAAGAACTAGAAATACTGAGCTGAAATTCATGAATTTGAAATTCTGTTGCAGATTTTGGAATGCAAGCACATTTAAAAGTAATCAGGAGTATAATATACAAAGATAAGTACCACAATAGTTACAAATCAGAAAACTATAAATACAGCTCAGTCTCTGCTTTATCTGTTCTCTGATGTTATAAATACTTAAAGATGTTTATCATGGGTTTTAATTGAATTTCAAAAGTATGAAATAAGTAAACCTAGAAGCTTTTCTGCAAAACTCAAATTTGAGGTATATTTAAAATTATACAGAAATGGGGCCTCCCCTGTGGCACAGCGGTTGAGCGCTGGGTTGTGAAGCTGCCCGCAGCCTCTGCAGCGCCAGTTCAATCCCCCGCTGCCGGGCGAGGGTCCCACAAGGCGCGCAGACCTCTCCTGCCGCTCCCCTCAGCAGTGTACTTCATCAGTCTGCCTGTTCTGCTCTCCGCTCTGGCTCTGGTGATATGTAAATCAATTAATATATAAATCAGTACAAGAGTAACATGATCAGAAGATCCTTGAGTTAAGACTTTTTCATTCTTTTGAAAGAAGAAGGAAGGCAGTGGTTAAGAATCCAAGTACCAACTACCTTTATGACTTTTGAATTCTTTCACCCTCCCCTGCTTCAGACTATACCCCAGTGCTTGTATAAATAAATAAATAAATCCTTAAAAAAAATATACAGAAATGACTATAAAACACTGTTTCTTAGTAATATCATGACTATTGTTAATTTGTTTCAAAGGCATGACTAAGGTCAAAGTGGGTAAAGAAGATTCGTCATCCACTGAATTTGTAGAAAAACGGAGAGCAGCTCTTGAAAGGTAAGTCTAGACAGTTGTGCTTTATTTTTCATGTTTTTATTCAGTCTTTACTTCACAAGTCTAATTCTGTTCCATTCTTGAACTATATTTTAATGATGATTTTTTTTAACTACCATTTCAACTTTTATTAAGCAAATTGTTTCCTTTTACCAACATAATATTAGATACTTATTCTGCTTTATTACTACTCATTAATAGTCTGGTTAACAGAATAACAGCTATTTTTGTATCATGAAAAATGAGTTAGTTGTAGATAGAATTATTGTCTCATAGCTATAGTCAGGTTAGCAAGAGAAGCAAGAAACTGCCAAGTTATAAAAAGAAAACATGAATTGCTGGATCATATGGAAGTTTTATGTTTAGTAGGTCAAGAAATCTCCACGCACTCCTAGGTATTTTACCCAAAGGACACAGAAACATCAATTCCAAAGAGCACCTGCACCCCTATGTTTATAGCAGCTCTATTTACAATAGCTAGCTTTGGAAACAACCCAAATGCCCAAAAATAGATGACTGGATCAAGAAGATGTGGTACATATACACCATGGAATATTACTCAGCAATCAAAAAAGATAAACACATGCAATTTGCAGCAACATGGATGGCGCTGGAAGGGATCGTGCTCAGCGAAATAAGCCAGAAAGAAAAAGAAAAATACCGGATGGTCTCACTCATAGCAGGAATCTAGAAAACTTAAACAGGAGACCAGGAAAAAGAATAACTATAAGAAAGAAAAAATAAAAAAAAAAAATCAAAATCAACAAACTACTGTGAACTAGAGACACTCTATGGGGGGTGGGGGTGGGGAAAGGAAGGATTGGGGTCGAAATAAGGGGTTGCAATTTTATGGGGAATATAAAAATAAAATTTAAAAAAGGATATAAACAATAAAAAAAAAAACATGAAACTTTTGAGTATGGGGGGATGGGATAATTGAAGTATTTGGATAAAAATAATAATAATTTTGTGTTCTTAGGAAGTATACCCATAGTCATGTATTATATGACTTGACTAATTATAATTTATCCACACTAATTATCCTTTTGAATTATTATTTAGTGAGAGCATTATTGAATGCAATGCAAAATTAGTTTTGTGTTCCCTCCTTTAATTTTGTATAATTGATTTTGACTTGAACAAGAGTATTGGTCATTCTTTGAGTTGACTGTATAATTAAAGGCTAATATAAATGCTCCATAGCCTTTAGAGTACTTGACATATGGCTTTGAATACTTGTCTTTAGTGTCAGACTAGAAGTGGGGGGAAGGTATGGAAGGAATTCACTCACAGAATGTTGATAGTTATTCTTTCCTTGCTATTCGGAAAATGTGAGAAAATAAAATTGAAACTACCTTAAAGCCCACCCTTTAGAACTTAAGTTATCATTACCAAGTCTCATTTTCTAATTGCATAGGTTTTGTTATTTTTGTTTTAGTTTAATTAAATTTGCATATTATTCACTTTGTTTTCTTTTTTGGCTTAAAATCAGTGAACTGGAATGAGTAGAACAGATTTTAGGAAGTGGAATATGTATGCCCAGGATACAAATGATTTTGTGAAACTATTTTCAAGGCAACTTATTTTATGGTTTTAGTAGTAGATTGTTTTGATTTTAAGTAAATGCCACAATATAGTCAGGTTTGAAGAGTTTGCTGTAAGAAAGCTAAAGAATATGCAGTTATAATCTTAAATTAGAAAAAACTTAAAAGATGAGTTTATGTTGGTGAGAATCAGCAATTAGGAAACAGATTTAAATCGCATCAAGAGAAGTTTAGGTTAGGCATTAGATTTGATTCTGCCATCAATGCGATCAAACGCTGAATATTTTTAAGAATAAAGGTAGATAATGCTCTGTCTTCATTTCGCTTAGTCCTTTCTGAAAGTGTAACCATGACCTTTGAGAGACCTTTCAAGTCCTATTTTTCTATGAGTAAATTTGAAATATTTCAGATGGCATGCTTGATAAGGACCTTAATGAAGATTTATTGTACCAAGAACATATAATTTGATTCTACTTTCCCCCTTATTCTAACTTGAACACATTGCATAGTACTTACCATACCTTCATGCAGTGTAAAAACATTGAGGAGTGAGGAACATTTTATGGTATTCTGAAATTTGACCTAGTGCATGTGTAAAGACTATTTCTTACTGATAAATATTAATAGTTAATGCTACATTCGTGGAATATGCAATAATGGGGGGAAAAAAAGAAACTGCATAATATGTGGACAAGTTCATTTAGCATTAGAAAAGATGACTAAAGAAAATACAGGCTTAATGGCATAAAAGCAAAGGAACTAAAATGATTTTTATATAGTGATTTTTCTGTGGTGGTTTACAAAATTTAAACACTAGCAAAGACATTCCTGAGGGATACCTAACCTAGTTGGATCTGGTGGATCAAGGACATTTTCTCTTTGTAGGATACTATGCTACTCATGTACATACCATTCGTTCAACTTAGAATGACTATCTTGGATGAAAGAATAAATATGTTATATTTAAATATAGGAAGAAGGAAAGCAGTGGTTAAGAACCCAAGTACCCTGTGCCACATTTAAAGTTAGCAGAAACTACTTCTAATTAAAAGTAGCCTTAAAATGCTTGTGTGGTTTTTCTGGAGAGGGTAAGGATACACTTCTGCAGTTACAAACTGAGAAATAGAAAGTAGGATAATATTGTGTATAGGGATTTACAGTGCCTATTCTGTTGGAGAGTATATTCCACTGTATACTACACATTTATCTAAATGACCTTGGGCAAGTTATTTAACTTAGGTTCATTCTTTACCCGTGAAATATTAAGTGTGTCATTAGGATTGTGTTCATTGTAAACACCTAAACAAGGCCTAAATAGTTAATGTAGATCAATTAATCCATTCTTTCATATCAGGAAGTTTGGATTAACAATAGTAGCTTCCTAACTGGTCCTTATTTCCATCCTTGCACCTATACTGTTTTTTAAATAGGCAGCCAAAGTCTCCTTTTAAAGTTTAAATCAAAACAACAGATCATATCCAACCTCTCTCCAGTTTCACTCAATAAAAGCTAGTGCTTATAGTTCCCTACAAAACCTGATGTGAGGCGCACTGTTCACTGTTGCACTTGTTTGATCTCCTGTGCTGATAGCTCTGCACTCGGCTGCACTGACTCTTTATATTTTGCTGCTGCTCAAAGATCCCAGGAATCTTCCCAACTTAGGTTCTTATATTGGCCATCCTCCTGCCTAGAGAACTTTGTTCCGAGGTGTCTGCTTGACTAACTCCTTAACCTCTTTGAATACTTCTTTGAACTTCAAATGTTCAAACATTACCTTTCTAGTGAAGCTTATTCTGATATATTTAAGTTGCCATGACCCACACTTTATACATTTCATCCAGTTTCCTCTACTCTTTACTTTTTCCCACAGCGTTTGTCATCTTATCGCTTACTACATAATTACTTGGTATTATGTTATTAGTTTATTTTCTATCTTCTCTTACTAAAATACAAGCTCCAGTAAGGATGGGATCTTATTCTCCTGCTCACTGATAGATTCTGAGCACAAAACAGTACCTGATGTTTTATAAACACACTATAAATATTTGTTAAATAAACAAACGAATGTCATCAAAGACCCTGACTTTTCTGCCTTTCTATGTTTTCACTGTTTGCACATGTGTGTGAATTTTATGAGCAACATTTTTTAACTTTGTTCCCTTGAACATTTTATATAAACACCTTTCCTTTGTTTCATTTTTGTTAAAAAATACATAGGAACTGGAAAGCCCCCAGTCTTCTAAGTTTATCCTTCAGGTGGATCCCAGGAACAATTACTGACCACCTCTTGTTGATGACCACCTCTTGTTGAGCATCATACTGAACTTTTTTGTCAGTTCCACTTCTGTCTTCCTTCAGTGTTTCTGATCATCCCTACACCACTTTTTTTTTTTTTTAAGATTTATTTATTTATGCATACAAGAACTGGGGTACAGGCCAGTGGTGTGGGAGATGAGAGGATTCACCAGAGACAGAGTGGGGAACAGAGCAGGCAGGTTGACTGAAATACACTGCTAAGGGGAGCATTGGGTGAGTCAGGAGAGGTCTGCTGCACCATGTGGGTTGCTCCCTGGCCAGGATCGAACTCGTGCTTGCAGTGACTGCAGATGGCTTCATAGGTTGTGTCTTAACCCCTTGCGCCACCAGGGAGGTCCAGCACCACTTTTCATGTCCTGCATTCTTTTGTTGTTGTTCTGTATCCTCCTTTGATGTATCTGTACTCCTTTCTGACCTTAATTCTGAATTGGTATCTATTACAAATATTAATTTATAACCCATTTTAAAGTTTCTGTTCTTAATTCTAACATTATATGAGCTTAATACTTATTTTTGAATGCTTAGTTGCTCTTTATTTCCATGTAACCCTTAAAAAGAGAAAAAGTTTTACTTTTTTTCCCCTAGAATATCATTCCCCAAAATTGGTTATTCAGATTGCTAGTATATTGTAGAAAAAAATAGAATAAAAATGTACTGAATGTGAGGTAAAAATATTGTAATTGATATAGCACCACATGTAATTGTGGTGGTAGGGTGAAAGAAAATCTGTGATCAGTTGAGTTTTATTAACATTGAACTTAACGGGTCTCCCTTGGTGGCTCAGGGGATTAAGACGCAACCTATGAAGCAATCTGCAGCCACTGCAGCATGAGTTCGATCCCCGGCCGGCCCGGGAGAAACCTGCATGGTGCAGCAGACCTCCCCTGACTCGCCTGCTGCTCTCCTCAGCAGTGTACTTTGGTCAGTCTGCCTGTTCTGTTCCCTACTCTGTCTCTGGTGAATCCTCTCACCCCCCACAACTCTGGCCTGTACCCCAGCTCCTGTGTGCACAAAGAAGTAAATCTTTAAAAAAAAAAATTGAATTTAACGAAGTTAAGCCTGGTTGAAACCAGGTTTACTTCCTGAGGAACTTAAAACCCTTATGCTTCTGTTTATTATGAATTAAAAGTATAATACTGAGCCTCCCCGGTGGCGCAGCTGTTGAGCGCTGGGTTGCGAAGCTGCCTGCAGCCTCTGCAGCGCCGGTTCGATCCCCAGCTGCTCCCCGGCCACTGGGTGAGGGTCCCACATGGCGTGCAGACCTCTCCTGCCACCCGCTGCTCCCCTCAGCAGTGTACTTCGGTCCTTCTGCCTGTTCTGCTCCCCAATCTGGCTCTGGTGAATTCTCTCACCCTCCTGCGCTTCTGACTGTACCCAGTGCTTGTATAAATAAATAAATAAATCTTTAAAAAAAAATACTTTTCCAACTTCCTTGCTTGTAGGACCAGTCTTTTCATGGAATATTGATGAGTCTAGTATTCTGCAGAACACACTTTGGAAAGCTCTTTTAGAATGTAAATAGTATTAAATATTTCCTTCTTGGTTTGAAATATTGGAATCTTTCTTAAAGATTGGGTGTTTCTTCCTGTTTGCTCATTTACAAATGTTTGAGTGGTTGCTATTTACCAGCTGTTGGTGCACAGAGATACACATTTTGTGCAAACTGCTTGAAGCAGCATGCAGTCTACACGATGAATTCACTTACCTGCTAGTACTAGAGAACTTCCAGGTTAAAATTTTTAAGACTCCTTTGAAGAAAGACTAACATTTCGTAAACTTAAAGGATTGCTATTCTTACTGCATCTAATTTTTAGCTAGATAACAAAAGCAGGAAATACAGGCAGAGTAGATTGTGTTGTTCATAACATATGCTTTATTTCTATTATAATGGCTTCTTATGTGGACTAATGAATTACAATGAAATTTAATATATTATGTATATTATTTAAATGTGCAGAAGTTAACATTTAAGCAGCAAAATAATAATAATAACATTTAAGCAGCAATAATAATATAAAATTATAAAAATATAATAATTATATATTATTCTATATAATAATAATTATATAGAATTTTTTCAGAAACTATTTCAGTTATATTTTACTGTCTTGTAAAAAGGTGTAAGAACATACTGGCTGCATTTATTCTGCAGAAATAGAATAAAGGTATGTTAACCGTGAGGTGTAAAGCATTATATTTGATTTATCACTGCATATAATAATCTGAGGAAAATTAACAATTAAAATGGGTATTAGATAAGTAATATAATCATCAAAATAGTGGACCTGTTTTCTTTTTATGAAGAAGTAATTGATAATTTGTTCTGGATAATAGGGAAATGATAGTTTTATAGTAAAGAGAAATGATTAAAATTGGGCTAAAAGTGATTTAATAATGGTGTTTCTGTTTTTTGTTTTTATTTTATGTGCTGTCATATAAGGAGAATATTTATCAAAAATATCAACACCTTAACAGAAATATTTAAGAAAATTATCAAAAGAAAATGCTCATTTCATAGTTTAAATCTGCTAATAAAGAAATAAAATGCTAGGCCTTTCTTCATTTTGGAAATAGCAGCAATAAAATAATAGTTGACTGCAACATGTATAGTGATGTTTCTTAGGACTTAGAAGTAGTAAAGGGGAATGTATTGACTCCACCCAACAGTAAAACCGTCTGACTCATATACCCTTTCACAACTCTTAATGCTTGCAGTATGAAGTTGGCAGGTTGCTTAGCCCCTCCTCACTCTCCCAGTATGTTCCCTCATTTCTTTTTACCTAATTACGAATTTTAAAAAGATGAACAAGAAGATTTTTGATCATTAAATTGCTCTAAGATTCTAAATAGAGAGAAGGCAGACTGAGGACACCATGTTGATTTTTTACTGAGGATACCTTTTTATTATTATTTTTTTGTTAAAATAATATTTAAAGTAATATGCTACTGGTTAATAAAGGAGCAATTTTAATCTTAAATCTAGGTATCTTCAAAGAACAGTAAAGCATCCAACTTTGCTACAGGATCCTGATTTAAGGCAGTTCTTGGAAAGTTCAGAGGTATTATGTCTACTTTAAATTGTTGTATATAAATGTCCTCATTTATGTTTGTTAATAATTTGTATGTAATAGATGATCAGTAAATAACTGGATTAATAGATGGAATAAGCAGTGATTTCTTTTTTGCTCAGTGGTATAATTGACTTTAATTAGTTAACTAAATTACCAGCAAAATACCTTCTTTGCATTGATAATTATAGGATGTTTGCACTCTCTATCTTAAAAGTTCAGAATCAGATTTTAAACTGTTTTAAAAAGAATGGTATGTAGTCTAATTCTGAAAGCTCTAAGTTGTTGCTTAGGCATGTTGAAATTTAAGTATATTTAGACCTCTTTTTAGAGATAGTTGAATGTTTGTATGTCTGCATTCAGACATTAAGGCTTTGAAATGCAAATTTGTGACTTTGAAAGAGCGTAAATTTTAACCATATTGCTTTTTATGTTTGATGTTTGGCATACTTTGGTTCTTAACAGTTTAGAATTCTGTTTGTTAGATTTTTAAAATTTACTTGACTTGTAGATTTTTTTTTAAAAATCTAAAATAACATATCTAAATGAGTCTGGGGAGATTTTTCTCAAGATTCTCTCTTTCCTTACAAACAGCTTATTTCTGCTGGCAAACAGGTGGCCAGTGTTTAGGTGCTTGGCAATTTCTTAATATATTTTGACAAAGAGTGTGTTGTTCCATCTAAATGTAAACATGCAGAAGAAAAGCAAATGGAAAGTCTATTTTTTAAGTTTTCCTTTGAGAATGTACAAGTAGTGTATTTGAGAAATTAGATTTCACTATTGAAATGTATGAGAGTGAAGAAAACACAACCTCCTTTTTTCCTTTCCTTTTCCTTTTCTTCTTCCTTTTTTTTTCCCTTGGTGGGGAGGGCAGACCCTTTTGTGCCCTGTTAAACCTCCAGGCTTTTAACCGGTTTGTTTGCCCTTATTTGTCATTCAATTCCAGCTGCCTAGAGCAGTTAATACACAGGCTCTGAGTGGAGCAGGAATATTGAGGATGGTGAACAAGGCTGCCGACGCTGTCAACAAAATGACAATCAAGATGAATGAATCGGATGCAGTAAGAGCTGATTTTTCGACTTGAATAATGAGATGAATTAATGAGCCCAACAATTGCATTTTAAAGCTGTGCAAGTAGAAAATAGGATATTAATTTGCTTATTGAGTTCAGTTCTCTGCCACATCAGTTGACCACCATGGTTATACATGGTTAATTTGTTGCTTTAAAACAAGGAATGTAGCTTGCTATTGGTAACCTAATTTACAATGGTTTGTTCTGGCTAAATTAGCTCCATTTTTCATTTTTTTTTCTCAGTGGTTTGAAGAAAAGCAACAGCAATTTGAAAATCTGGATCAGCAACTTAGGAAACTTCATGCCAGTGTTGAAGCCTTGGTCTGTCATAGAAAAGGTTTGTTTACCTTGTTCTTTATGTTTTTGACATTGTAAGTTAATTAGAATACTTTGTTTACATTTTATTTGAAAGTAAATATTCTGAAGTTACTCTAAAAGACAGAAAACAATAGTTTGAGAGTATTTTCTTTTTAAACTTTGTTATTTTATTTTTATTACTTTAATCTGGGTTTGTAAGTAGAAAAATTTCAAGTCTGTAAAAGCATGTTATATTTTGGATCAAAACTGTTCTCTTGATTAACTCTTTATTAAACGTACATACAGTAGAATGAATGCAGATGTCTTACTAGTAACTGTTTAGAATAAAAAAAAAGAGATTAAAAATTGATATTTGAAAATTTCCTTTAAAATACTTGTTTAAATATTTCCTAGAATATTCGGTTTATTTTTGAACCACGGTATTTAAAATCTAAAAAGTTTTTATTTTTTTGTTAAAAGTTCATAGAAAAATTAGTCATAATTTTTTAATTCCAGTGAGAGTTTTTGTGTTTTTTATTTTTAAAGAATTCAAGATGTTTCAGACTGGCTTTCTTAAAAACTTAATAAGTGATTTTGTATATGCCATTAACAGCAATACCTCTCATTAAAATCATTATAGAAATTGAATATATTTATTATTAAAAGTATCCTTTGCGTTTGTCATTTGTATTATATCTCTTAAGAAACAGCTTTAAGGCTCTTCTAGAGAACTTTTCGTAATGCAGAGCAATAGAGCAGTTTATAGGCAATGAAATCATTAGTCATTGACAGTATCCTGCCTAAAAACATGTTTTTCCTCATTTGAAGTATCAGAAATGATGGCATGCAAAAATACTTTTAAAAATTTTTAATATTTAGTAAACACTTGTTGGAAAATACAGGAAAAATAAGTTACATGAATTGTGTGTACAGTTTCCCTTATTTTCCTCCTGTTAGTTGAAGTAGTATTCTCATAAAAATCAGACATTGTTTTCAATGGCAAATAAATATTTAGAAGTCAGAGAATGTAGTGTAAGTCAATTTCAGGTGTGGCATTAAAAAATATATTTTTAAGGGGCAGAGAAAGAGTGAATACTTTAGGGGAAGAGTGGAGGCACATAATTATTTTAAATATCTTTCATTCCTTGGGAATAGAGGCCCTGGTTCTTAATTTTCAGTAAAGCTCTGAGCAGTTGGCCTTTATGCCCAAGGCATTTTATTTTAATGACTGGTTGTTTTGTGTTAATTATTTTAAAATACTATTTAGCAATTTATGAACAGATAAAATTTAAGAGAAGATAGAAAATCAATGCAATATTTTAGAACTTTACTAGTGAACACTAAAAGTGAATGCTTTTTTATTTCAGAACTTTCAGCCAACACAGCTGCCTTTGCTAAAAGTGCTGCCATGTTAGGGAACTCAGAGGACCATACTGCTTTATCTAGAGCTTTGTCTCAGCTTGCAGAGGTTGAGGAGAAGATAGACCAGTTACATCAAGAACAAGCTTTTGCTGACTTTTATATGTTTTCAGAACTGCTTAGTGACTACATTCGTCTTATTGCTGCAGTGAAAGTAAGCCTTATTTTGCAATCTTCCTTAAATTCTTCTTCAGTGGTTTGCTTGAAAGAAGAATTTGGTTTCCTATTAGACATGTGTTTAACTGTAAATTCCATACTATTCTAGCACATATATAAAATGTCTTCAAGATGATTATTCATAACTTACTATTCTCTTCCCCTATGATATGGACAGTACAATAGACACTAATTGATGCTTTTAAGAGTTTCAAGGAATGCCAAATAAGATAATACCAAAATATATTTATATATACAAGTTTGCAACTAACTGATAGCATTTATTTGCTCATTCTCGCGCAAACTGAAACTACCCCCTGGACTGTTACTATTAGTAAAGCTGTAACAAGAAGCAGGACAAAAATCAGAACTGACTGTTGCATGAATATATTTAATGGTGATTTTAGCATGAATTTGGACTTTAAGCAAACATTCTGTGAATATACTGAAATGTATAGTCACCATGTGTTTATAGATGAGATGGGACAAGGTTAAATAATAAATTGTGTTACATGGTGGTGATGTTTAAGGATGAAATTGTCTTTGGTTGGGAATATAATCCAGTTAACTAATGAAAATTAGTATTGTGTAGCTATGTCCAATATTCAGTTAATCTGAACTGAGTGTTAGTTTATCACACATTTCAGAAACTAAGATCATATGATGTCTGAATTATTATTGTGGACATTAATTATCATGGATGGAGAGAACTGGGAATATGTCTTTTACTTTGAATTCAAATACCTACAAAGTTAATGAGATCTTGTTCCTTGTTTTCTTTTGCAAAGATTTTACAGCTGAAGTCAGTGATCCAATTAGTATTCACCTTCAGTCAGAACAAATACAGTGCATATTTATTGATATTCTCAAGCTAATAGTAACAATTAAGAGGATTCTTAGCACTTAAGAATGGCACTTTCCTATGTTTTATAAAATGGCCAGTTTTATTTGTATTACTTTCAGATGTTACTCTTTATATCCCTGGTGATTAATATTTCTTTTAAGTTATTTAAAGATGTTAATATAGGTGGCCGTTGTCAGAATATTCTTTTTTTTTTTAAGATTTATTTATTTATACAAGAACTGGGGTACAGGCCAGAGACACAGGAGGGTGAGAGAATTCACCAGAGACAGAGCAAGTTGCAGAACAGGCAGTTGGACCGAAAGCACTGCTGAGGGGAGCAGCGGGCGAGACCTGAGAGGGCTGCCACACCATGTGGGTATCTCCCTGGCTGGCCGGGAATTGAACCCCGCACTGCAGAGGCTGCGGACAGCTTCATAGAGCTGCGCTCAACCTGCTGCACCACCGGGGAGGCCCGTCAGAATATTCTTAATTACATATAAGCAACTTACGATCTTTAGAAATCCAGTTTACACATGATGGTTCCTATATCTCTTCTCCTTATTTTCACCCCACTCCAGTGCTCCCACTAGCATAAGGACTGTTGTATAAAACATATGAACACCTCCAAAATAGCTGTGAGTTCAGAAAGCAGAGATGGGCAGTGCCTATGAAAAAGGGGCTATTCTGAGAAGAACTAACCTAGGAGAAGACTCTCTGGCACGGATTGCCTGACTGTGTAACGTATGCCAGTCCCTCAAAAACAGTTTTCCTTAGATGCCTAAATCTTCTTGCTGTGGTTTTACATTCTGTGATTCACAGTTATATCTCTGTTTCCCAGAATATTTTCTATAGAACATTGGCACCAAAGGATATATTACAGCACAGTCAACTGAGCTTGGGAAAGAATGTATACAGTATCCCTGCCTTATGGGCACAGACAGCATGTAAAAAGCTCAGAATCATCTAGGAGTAAAAGATAAAATAAGGCATTTAACTGTTTTTAATCAGAGGCTTCTAAATTGAACAGGCTTCCATATGAACAGGAATCCCTTTTCACTTAACATCTTCTTACATGTATGGAACACTTATTGGGAAATACTGAGTTAGTGATTTAGTAGAAGAGAGTTACAGAGAAATGGTCAGGTTATACCTTGAATTAAATTAAGCTCTTTCAGATTGGTTTTCTATCAAGCCCAAGTAAGCTGCACTAAAGAACTAAGGAATTATGAGCAGTGTAACAGATAATTTTTTTGGTCTTTATTTTTTTGTTTGTTTATATTAACCCAATTTCTTTATAGTTGAAAAAAATAATAATTCTAATAGCCCCCCAAAATTGCATGTCTTTTCAACCTGAGACTTCTAGTCTGTCTTCCCTCAGTCAAATGCATTTGTTACACATGTATATGCAGTTGACTTTATTCTGGCACAGTCTGTCTTCCTTGATCTTTTCCTCCCTTCATAAATGAGCACACTACATGCACCATTCTTTGCCTACTCTTTTTCACCCACTCCATTTTAAAGCTGTCTCCATATCTGCACCTGTAGATATGTTACATTCTTTTGAATAGTTGTATTCTACCACGTAGCCTTTTGGTGTATTATGCATTGAATTATTTCATTGCTCCAAATCTTAAATATAAGATATTTTGATAATAACTCTTTGGACATAAATTAGAAGTAGAGTTGTTTTCCCAAAGGATATGTGAGTTTTAAATTTCAATAAATATTAACCATATTACTGTTCAAAAAGATTATCCTCCTTTATGCTACCATGAACATGTATGTTCCGTCTCCCACCCAATGATGAAGGCATTTTTTTTGTATAAGTCTTAATTTCTTTAGTTAGTGTAAATTTTAAGTATCTTCACAAATAAGTTGTTTCCATTATTTTCTTTTGTGAACTGTTGAAGACCTTTGCCCAGTTTTTTAACTCATTTGTTTCTAATTGCTGTTTAACAGTACTTTGTATTATACTAATTGAGAGTACTTTCCTGTTGATAATCTTGAAACTAGGAATACTTTGAGAATTAGAGTATGGTGCCAATGGAGAACTAAGAACATCAGAAATAGGGGACCTGAAGAAAGAGATAAATTTGGGGGCTCCCCAGTGATGCAGGGGTTAAGTCTCGGTGCTATCAAGCTGTCACCATCCACTGTGGCCTGAGTTCCATTCCCAGCCAGGGAGCTGACCCACATGGCACAGCAGACGTCTCTTGTCTTGCCCGCTGCTTCCCTCAGCAGTGTATTTCAGTAGATCCACCTGTTCTGCTCCCCACTCTGTCTCTGGTGAATCCTCTCACCCTCCATACCGCTGGCCTGCACCCCTGTTCTTATATGCATAAATAAATAAAATCTTCAAAAAAAAGAAAGAAAGAAAGAAATTCGCTCATTCAAAATATAGCCTTATGTCCAGAAGAGGCTGGTACTACTGTAGTGGATTAGATCTTCACATGGAAAGACAACAAGTTGTAGAAAGCAATATTGTTTTGATCTTTGCTTCTTTTTTTCCTATTCTTGTGGAATTGAAAAAAATGTTAATTCCTATAATAGAATTAAAACTATTTTTTTTACTGAAAGGACCTGGTTTTAGTACTCTTTATCATTTTTTTCATATCAGTACCAAATAAACCCATGATGGTTTTGGAATATAAGGAGATGATAGTAAATTGGCAGGAACGAAATTAGTTTAGATTTAGTTTATCATTGAAAAAGCCAGCTAATATATATTATATATTAATGTATTAAGATATACATTTTAAATAATCTATTTGTTATTGACAGAGAAACTTGTAGATGAAGGATTGAGATGACCCTGTTCCCCTAAAGAAAGATGAGGCCTAACATTTTAGATTACTTTAGGTTTTGTACATATATATGTGTTGGGGGTGAGTTACAAGAATTGTTTGTCTGCTTTATATAATAGTGACTTTTCTCTACTTGTGTTAGATGTGATTTTAGCCAAAATTATTTTGAAGCAAAAGTAATTCATAATGAGGAATGTTTTAAAGAAAATGTGCTCTTTTATAAATCGGGAAAGGAGATAAAGGGAATAGTAAGATATACTTCTAATATAAGAAGAGAGATTATAGGGCCCGGCTGCTCCCCCGCCACTGGAGGAGGGTCCCACATGGCGCGCAGACCTCTCCTGCCGCCCGCTGCTCCCCTCAGCAGTGTGCTTCGGTCCTTCTGCCTGCTCTGCTCCCCGCTCTGGCTCTGGTGAATTCTCTCACCCTCCCGCGCGTCTGACTGTACCCAGTGCTTGTATAAATAAATAAATAAACAAATCTTAAAAAAAAAAGAAGAGAGATTATATGAGATGAAAAATTAAATCTAGCGAAATAGACTTAAGTACTCATAGATAGGATGCCTTGATTTACCAAGGATGTCTGTTTTCCTGGTTAATTTAAAATGTGTACAGGCTTTAAGGTCTCTTTGGATAAAAATACTTTGTTTTTAGGTTGATGGGAATTTTAATGCTATTGCTCACATATTTGATATAAGCTAAACGGTATAAATATAGTCCAATTATGATTAACTTTTTATATTAATGTTATTAGTACTTTAATAGAATTCTAGAGTTAATATTTGTGTATATTATTTAGAAATCATAAGAATACCTATCTATTAATCATCCACTATGTTAAGCCACTGTGCTACATGCTTTTCATGTTATTTCCAATTCACAATGTAGATCTCATTTCCCCCTTTCATATATAGGAAAGCTGTGGCTTTTACCAGTTAAATTTATCTAAGATCATACGTGACAAAGCAAATATTAGAACCAAAATTTGATTTGTTCCAAAACATACTTTTAAAAAAATAAACTATTAGTGGGTCTCCATAAAAACATGTATTGATTTACTGCTTTTTGATCCAGAAAGTTCTGTATTTGGAAGAAATTAAAATAACTCTGATGCAGTATTTTGTGGTTGTCCCAACTTATTAATGATAGCTCCATTTGTTCAATCAGTAAATATGAAAATATGACTGAATCCCCAATATCAAGTTATAAAAGGGATTTTGTTGAATTCTATCATCCTATGCATAAGTTGTTTTGTTTTTTTTTTAATGAGAGTTGTAATTATTGTCCGTCACCATATTTCATTTCTTTCTTACAGTCATTTGTTCTCTCTCTGTCAGAACCCTTGAATAAAGTAGTGGACTTCTTCAGTTACGGTCTTTTTATCTGTTCCTTCACTAAGTTCTGTATACTATATACATACATGCATGTGAGTGTGTTTATGTAGTTCTGCATACTGTGTACATACATTTATGTGTATATATGTTTCCTTTAACAGGACAGTCTCTCCTTTTTACAATTTTATTACACTTTAGTTCTTTAATTGCTTTACCTTTCTTTTATTTCTGTTACTGATCTCTTTAACCACATTTTTACTAACTTTACTTCCTGTTTACTTCTTAGGGATTTTTCCCATTTTCATTTTTCAATTTCTGGCATATTTCCTAAACTTACATTTATTTTTGATATTATTTAGTAGAAGACATCAAATACAGATTTGACACCAGTGCTTTCCTATTAAATATTTTTAAATGTGTAAAACTGTTAGAAATCTTATTGTAAGCCACATTTAAAACCCTATGAAATGGATATTATATATAGTTTTTTCTTGATTTTGAGCTCTTATGTTTTATCTAGTCACAGAGGTTTGGTTTTTTTCTTTTAAGAAATAAATGCAGAAATTTAGTTTTTTATATCAGGTATGTTAATGTTCATTATATTAAATAACATTTGAGTACTTGGTTTTATTGCTTTCAGTATTACAGCACTTCTGGTGTTAGGGTAGTATTTCACAGTGTTAACTCTGATTTAATAGCATTATATCATTCACTTATAGGGTGTGTTTGACCATCGAATGAAGTGCTGGCAGAAATGGGAAGATGCTCAAATTACTTTGCTCAAAAAACGTGAAACTGAGGCAAAAATGATGGTTGCTAACAAACCAGATAAATTACAGCAAGCTAAAAATGAAATAAGAGAGGTGATTAATACAGAATGCTTTATCTCTTTATTCAGATTTTGCATGAGTCATTCATATATGCATAATTTTTCATAAATTTTTTTCTGAATCATTCAATACTTAGCTATTTTTCCATAATTTTATGAACTGTTTAGAATTAACATTTTGGTCATCATTAAAATCTCCAGTACCCTTTCTTCTATATGATTATAGAATGGATCAAGAAGCTTATAAGGAAAAGATTTTTTTTAGTTGACCTTTAATAATTACACATTTATTTTGATATGGTTAATTTGATTTCAAATTACTTATTTTGTGTCTAAAAATAGTTTTAGAGGTAGACTTGTCCCACATTTAGCTGTCCAGGCAACCTAATCCCCCATATATACATAATATATATGGTATTTTAGTAAATTTGTATAAGTTTATTATAATTTATACACTTCTTTTGCCATGCTTCAATAAGGAAATTGAAGAGGTAGGACAACCTTTATATTACTAACAGTAAATGCACCTGCTCTCTGAAGAGTATGTACCAGTGTTTTGGTTACATAGTGGGAAAATACCATTTCATTGCGTAGGTCTTTATTTTATTTTGGCTATTCCATTGGTCACTAATCATACTGTTGTGTTGTTTCTATATTGAATTTTTTTATTGATAGGTCTTCAGCACACCATAATCCCACATCTTTTTTTTTTTTTTTTTAAATCTGGACACTTTACCATTACAAAAAATGTTTTTTAAATGTTCGTTTTATAATTTTCCTACTTTAAGTATTTTCATGGGCATACAAACTGTGATGTACACATATTCTTGAAATTAGCTGAATATTTCTTACCTGAATATCTTTGATAGATTTTGAAATGATTAATGATCTAAAAAAGGAAATGAGAAGATTATAGTCTTACCATTGCTAAATTATTTGCTGGGTAATTTGGTACTCAAAGTATTGTCCTCTGTTGCATTTAATTAAGTTATAAAGATGGTAACACATTAAATAACAGAATATTATAATTTTGAGTGTATCTAACAAAGAAGTATGAATGAAAATTAAGCTAATAGGTATATGTACAACTAGAAAGTTAGAAGTTTGAATGATGCCAAGTTGGACTTTGCCCAATATTGAGCTTTTATAGGGTTTTTATGCATGTTAAATTAAATGAGTTTTCATGATAGCTAGTACTATAATGTGTTGCAAATAAAAATAAAATCTTTTGCATTTTTGTTTGATTTTATTAGTGGGAGGCAAAAGTACAACAAGGAGAAAGAGATTTTGAACAGATCTCTAAAACAATTAGGAAAGAAGTGGGAAGATTTGAGGTAAGTATAGTAATTTTACACTTTCCTTAACTAACGTCGTCATAATTTGTTATGACTTTGTGGTAAACTCAAATTTGGTTTTGTGTTTATTTTTCTTTAACAGAAAGAACGAGTGAAAGATTTTAAAACTGTTATTATCAAGTACTTAGAATCATTAGTACAAACACAACAACAGGTAAGATGATTTTTTATAATTTACAGGCTTCTTCTAAAATCATTTTTGTTAGCTTTTTTGCTTTAAAGATAATTGATGAAATTAGTTTTTTTTAAAAAAGATTTTATTTGTTTGTTTATTTATTTATTTATACAAGCACTGGGTACAGTGAGAAGCACGGGAGGGTAGGAGAATTCACCAGAGCCACAGTGGGGAACAGAACAGGCAGACCAACGAAGTACATTGCTGAGGGGAGCAGCGGGCACAGCAGGAGAGTTCTGTGTGCCGCGCCCTGGGACCCTCGCCGGTGGCCGGGATCGAACCATCGCTGCAGAGGTTGGGGGCAGCTTCTCAGCCCAGTGCTCAACCGCTGTGCCAATGGGGAGGCCCGAAATTAGTTTTTTTAAACTTAATGAAAAATAAGAAATGGAACACAGGGGACTCCCTGGTGGCACAAGTGATTAAGACGCAGCCTGTGAAGCAATCCCTAGCCACTGCAGCTTGAGTTCAATCCCAGGCCAGGGAGCTGCCCACATGGCACAGCAGACCTCTCCTGACTTGCCTGCTGCTTCCCTCAGCAGTGTATTTCAGTCGATCTGCCTGTTCTGTTCCCACTCTGTCTCTGGTGAAGCCTCTTACCCCCTACACCTCTGACCTGTACCCCAGTTCTTGTATGCATAACTAAATAAATCTTAAAAAAAAGAAAAAAGAAATGGAACAAAAAATCCAGTGACAGCAAAGGAAAAATATTGTTGAATAATTAGAAATACTCCTTCTAAACACCAGACATTTTCCCAGCTTTAGGCTTTGAGAAACATCTTGGTCAGTATTTTCCTTTTTGCTATCTTCTTAGTTTTGTTTCTCTATAGATCAGACCTGTATGAGTTCCTAATAGCTAGAACTTAAAAAAACTTAAAACCTTTTTTTAAAGGTATTTTTGTAGTGTTTGATTTTTGTTTTATTTTGTGTGGAGTTGGTGGTGATTCTTTGTCACAGGTGGCATTTGTTTCCTTAACTGGAGAAGACCATAGGTTTTAATGTTACATGAAATAAAAATCTCTAAGAAGATGAGAGCAGAGTTATTTCCTGTATATTTAAATATAAATTTGAGTCTTGAATAAAATTTATTCTTCTAGCTCTGAACAACTGATTATATTTTGATTTACATTTAGCTTTTATTTTAAATGCTTCATAAAGTCAATTTTTTTAATGTAAAAATTAATAGTTTATATCAACTTGCTTTTAAATAAGTTGTTTTGAATGTAACTGCTATAGACTTCAAAACTGTTCTTTGCACTCCCTAGGAGAGACTGGCAGCTCATTCTTACCCATCTGTTTACCTTGTCCAATATTTTCTTTTTTTTTCCCCTTAATCATTCTTTTTGACTAGTAGTAAGTAAAATGTGAATATCCTTTGAGTTAGGAGATTTGATTACTTTATTATAGAAAAATTCATTGTAGTTTATTTTGAGGTAATCTAATACTTGGTTCATACTAAACAGTCTGTTTCTAGATGCAATTTTGCTTAAAATACCTGTTTTAAGGTGATTTTCAAGTTATGATTTACATCAAAAACAAATTAAATTATTTTTAGGAGTAATTTAGGAGTAATTATTTTTAATAATTTATACATTTAAATATATTAACAAATTTCAGTTAAGAGTGATTTCTAGACTTTAGTAAATGTTAACTAGTATTAGCTGTTCGCATAGATTTTGTTATGCTGTACAGGATACATGCATATGAAAATGACAGGAAGGTAGTTAAGAATATCTTTTATTTTTATTTTCCACAGCTGATAAAATACTGGGAGGCATTTTTACCTGAAGCCAAAGCCATTGCTTAGCAAGAAGATTATTTGTATTAAGAAGACCTTGGAAGTTTGTTCCAGTTATGCTGAACTCCACAGTGAAATCATTTAAAACCATCTAAATAAACCACTATATATTTTATGAATTACATGTGGTTTTATATATATATAGATATCTATATATCTAGATACCTATATATATATATATGCTCTGACATTTTATTACAAGCTGCATGTCCTGACCCTCTTTGAATTAAGTGGACTGTGGCATGACATTCTGCAATACTTTGCTGAATTGAACACTATTGTGTCTTAAATACTTGCACTAAAAAGTGCACTGCAAGGCCAGAAAATTTTACATATTTTTTTCTTTACAATATGTTCTGTAGTGTGTTCACCCTCTTTATGAAGTGAATTATCAATGCATTGATTAATGTTCACTTATACATTCCTGTACAGAAATTATGATTTTGTGATTACAGTAATAAAATGATATTCCTTGTGAAGTTATTAGTTACAAATTTTTTGGGTATGTAAACATGAGGAATCTTTTGAAAGCATTTTTAATAAGAAGAAACCTTTTCTTCTAGATGTATTTAGATGATGTTATGAGCTATTAATATTTTTTAATTGACAGAAAAAGCCTAACTCTATGATGATTAAATGACTAAATGAAACTTGTTTTTTTAATGAACTCATCATAAACCAAAGAACATTTATCTCTTGATTCAACTCTGGGTGCTGTCTTGGGTAAAGGAAAGAATAATTGTCTTTGCTTATTTTAATCTATCTCTATTATTAGTCCCCAATTTTAAGATTTAGGAAAAGATGTTTTATATGCTTCTGTTACAAGTCCCATGGATTTTACTCTTCAGCTGTTACCTTCAAATTTATTCCCTTTATCTTTTTCATATTCAGCTAGAAGTGGGTCATATAGTCATAGATGGTAAAGAATGGTACCCTGCCAGAATACTCCATGATTGGCTGAATAAACAAGAATAGATAGCACAAAGAAAATTTAAAGTAAAATGAAATGTATCTTTTGGCAACTTTCTCACCATTTCTGTATCTTCTCTAGGTGACTTTTATTCTAGATGAAAGTTTAAATTGTGATTGTCATCAGAGTTATTTTCATTTTTTAAAAAGTGTTCTTAAAGACATCCCTCTTCCAAGGTTTAACAAGTACATCTCCCTGGCAGAGAAGAAAGTTATGGTATGTATAACTGAGTGCTCTCTACCACTTACTGGAGCAATTAATATATTAGCGTATCCTCTAGAGTATGTTTGCTTCTATGTATTTTAATTTCAGACCTGCCATAGGTATTCATATTTATTCTCTGAGAACCTAGAGAAGTAACTGACACATAAATGGTTAATAATAATAACCTGCTGACTTGAATATGCAAAATAATGTTTGCTCTCTTAAGAAGGAACTGAAACAGAAGTGGTATAGTCTGTCATAGTTTCTTCTATTGAAGATAACTTATATACTTATGAGAAATAAGTAATGTATAATAATAGATATCATATCTAGTTGTCCAGATAATATTGACAAAATATAGGCGTACCAGGAATAGTTTCACTATAACAACATTTGAGAACTATATTCTTTGTTATATTACTTCCAGTGGTATCACTTATACATAGGATAATAACTTAGTTATCCAAACCAAAATCCTCCATTCTGCCCTGGTACATTCACTAGAACACTTAGTACTTCCAAATAAAATTATTATTTTCAGTCTTGATCAAGCTGAAAAAGGCAGTAGAGCCAAAATTCATTCCAGAGTTCATTTAGAAACCCTTAGAAACCTTAGAAGTCCTTTTTAGAAGGTTTCACATCTATTAATCATGTGAAGTTCTAGTAGCTCATATTTTAATGGAATTTAAACATTCCAATAATCTACCCTCCACCCATCTATCTTTATGTCTTCTGTTTACATGATCACAGTGTGTTCCTTATAAATAAGTAGAACCGAGAATATTAATAGTGCTGATGACAACTTTAATTGTGCAGGTCTGAATTTAAACATTTCTGTTTTCTCTTTCACCAGAAAAAAAGTTAAAGAAGTACTAAGGCAGCATAATACAGTGGAGCAGGCTGAACTTGGGATCAACATACATCTGTTCAGTTTTGGCTTCTCTCTCTGAGTAGCTGTATGTCTTTGGGTATATCACTAAAATCACAGGGACATAAAACTCATTCCTGAAGTGCCTTTCTGCTTTAAAATATTTGGTTTCAGATTTCAAAATAAGTATTCTACTAGGAAACCAAATTCTACTCAAAACCACCTTCTATTGATAAAGTAAAACAATATTAGAGCAAATGAATGTATGTAAAAATACGATTTTTAACTCATAAAAGATTAGATTTTCTTGATTGTATTTTATGCTCAGCTATTTTAAACAGTTCATACGTATTCATATATATGAATTAATATGTTATATATACTAGTCTCAAATTCATACATAGATATATACACACTAGTCTCGATTCATATGTGTGTGTGTGTGTGTATATATATGAATGAATACGTAATATATACCAGTCTCAAAATACACTTGTTTGATTGTTGGTATTCTTCAAAGTTTATTTCTGCTAAAGTTTTACAGATTTTTCCTATTTCATGAGTGGTTTTTAAATATAAATTTCTTAACAAAATTGAATTTCTTTAAAGGAAGGAAGTCAGATGAATAGAGAAAAGAGATTATATTTCTTAAAAAATGCTTCCTAATCTTGATGTCTGTCTTAAAACATGTGACTCATTGTAAAGCCCTTGATGTACTTCACTTTTCTTGTGTCTCCCTGCCGGAGCAGTCAAATGATTATCAAGAACTAGGGAGGTAGTAGAAGTTCAAAAGTAGTAGCTATAGAGAGGCTGAGCAAAAGTCATTCTGTCTTAAAGGAATGGAGGTCCCTGATCATGAGGCTGGAAGATAACGCTTGTGAAAAGAAAGTGCTGTCATTGACTTGGGAGCTTTGGAGGCGCTCCCTATCTTACTCAGAATCGAGTCTCATTCCTGTGGTTTCAGGTAATAATGACAGTGGATAATTGGCCAGACAGAAACAGCAAGAAGAGAATTACATACTAATGAATTATTGCTGATTATTCAGAGAGGTCATGGTGACCTTGGATGTGGTGTTTATTAGCATTTGGACCAGCAGAAACATAACATTGAGTCATGTATATAATTTCTAATTTTCTATAGTCAAATTTTAAAAAGCAGAAACCGTAAAACTGATTTTAATATAAACTCAGTAGTTCCAAAATATTTTAATTTGTAATCCAGTATATTAAAAATTATCAAGATTTTTACATTCTGTTTTTCTTAAGGTGTTGAAATTCAGTATATATTTTATACTTACATTACATCTCCGTTCATACACACCACACTTTAAGTGACCAATTGTCTGTTAACACATGGCTGGTGGCTCTTTTGGATGTGTAGGTATAAAACAGTGCCTGTGGAAATGGAAATTAGAGTAAGTCCAACAGTTGGTTTGTTATTTATCTCAAATCAAGTGAAGGATTTGAAGCTAGATAAATGAGACTAGCAGGTGTTGCTGTCAAGGGCAGGTACAACTTGGCTGCCAATCTTTGTGGCACAGAGCTTTGCCAATAGTAGATTCATTATCTACTATGAATGCATTGTAGCGCTATATTACCAATGTAGTACAGCTTACTCATTTTTCAGAGGAGCAGATCCAAAGCTTAAATCTGATTGAACTGATTTTTTCCTCTTAGATCTGTGTTAACTGGCTGTGAAAATTCTTGCATGAAGATATATGATGAACTTTTCAAAATTCTTCTCTAATTGTAAACATAGAATCCTAGGAAGTCCTTTGGGATACAGAGAATTTATTTCTTCAAACTGAATTCAGAAGTGGATAGAAAATTTTAGCAAATAGGAAAGTTATAACTGGCTGTCAAATTTTTTAATGCACATTTAAGAGATTTTAAATGCTCCATCTCTTGTCATACTATTTATCACTTAATTCTCTGAAGATTAAATAATTTCAACTATTTTTCTTAACTGGGTCAAATGGGAACTTTGTATTTAAAGCCAATCAAGGTGAAGCTGCTCACTTGTTATTACACAGAAAAGTATATTTTTAAATTAAGGTCATTTAATGGGATAAAACCCTTTAAGAGGGAGTATTTTAGGGGGAAATGTGTCTATTTTATCTGTAACTGTATAATAAAAAAAATCAGACAAAATTTAACAAAACTATTTAAACAATAAATTGCTTTCTTACTGCTTCCATTATTAAGTCTTGAGTTATCTTGATTTCAGCCTATATTTTCTGGGTCTTTATTTCAAGTGTTCTCATTATATATGTGCATACAATATGTGTGGATTTTTGTGTGCATGCATGCCTGTTAGCTTTTAAGCCTAACTTAAGTTTTTAAACTTCTACTTAAAATATTTCTCAGTCTCTTCTGAGACTGAGCAAAATGATTGTTTTCTGAGTTACATTATTTAGGTATTACTTTGCTATGACCAGCTGGTGTTGATTCTACTTATGAAATCTATTCCCGCCTCGTTTTCACTGTTTCTCCCCCAGGCTGAAGAACTTGTGACCATTTACTGGAACTATCTAAAGTCTCATATGAAATACACATTCTGTCAGTCCCCTACCTGTTAGCGCTACAACCTGCTGCTAAATTGATCTAACTATGGAACTCCTCACAGTACTACTATCCACAGAAAATAGACTCCCCGCAGACTACAGATGAAGTCAAAATTTCCAGGATCTGGTCTCAAGCTATTTTTTCTGCCCTTACTGCCACCCACCTTTTGCTTTACTTAAATGATGTCTGTCTTGTGAGCATGCTCTGTCCCTTGGCTAAATGCTATTGCTGATACTACCTTGTCTGAGTTACCTTTGCCCTTTAACAGCAGATTACATCCTATCCATCCTTTAAACTTTAAAGTCAAATTCAAAATCCACATCTTCCATATATCCTTTTTAATCTTCGAACTGGAACAAAGCAAAGAAACTTTCTGGTCTCTCAGTAGGATTCTAGTAACAGCAAGTTTCAGATTGTACTTGCTGATACCTGTCTTGCATTGTCTGGTCTTACTGCCTTGACTATATTGTACTTCTTAAATGACTGTGCCCTTATTATTTCTTGTAGAACCTAGTGTATGTTATAGCCAAGAGAGTGTAACAGATTGTTGGAAAACACAGTTATCCAGCTAGCCTACCAATTTGAGCTGTGGCTCGAGAATCTACATCAGTGACTGAACAAGTTATATTTTTTAAAACTTCAGTTTCCTTATCTGTAAAATGGAATGGGATTGTACCTGTCCAGATGCTCCTAAAGGGGGATTTGCTCTTGGATCCCTGGAATTGAGGCTTAGATGTGGAGGGGAAGAACACGGACAAATCTGTAATCTGCCAAGGAAAGTTTAGAATTACATCACACGCTGCAAAGATACTCCATTGTGGTTAAATAAGTGTTGTCAGGAAATGAGTTAGAGGCTTTTAAAGAAGCTGGGAGACTGAAGGAAGGAAAGAAGAATGAGATACAAATGTGATTGCTTAGGATGAGACATGTTTATTTCCACACAAACAGGATAGTCTTTGTGCCATGCATTGAAGCCATGGATGGGTATCATGGAAGGAGAAGAAAATTGGCTGCAGTGATGCCCAGGATTCTGGCTTTGATGACTAAGGATATTGCTGCTATGATTAACTGAGTTACTATAGGAGGTATAGTTTCCTTTTATTAGCAGATACTAACTGTTCAATTTCATATATGTATTTGCCATATACTTTGATTAATATTCTGAAGAAAAGATACTTAGCTGGCCTATCACAGACTGTAGAGTCAGATTAAAAGGTGTAGGAACAATATAAAATATTTGCAACATTCTCTTTTGGTGCTAAGATTTTCTGCCCTTTATGGTTAGAGGAATCGTAGAGAACTTGGTTAGAAACTCAGCACTTCTAATTATTAGCCAATAATTTCATCGTTACTTTTCCTCTCTGAGCCTCAACTCCGCCATCTGAAATAACTTCAATGATAACAATACCATTTAGGGCTGGGCTGACAGTCCCTCAAGAACACACCCACGTATTGATAGCTTGTATATATTTTCAGCAAGACAAATTTAAATTAACCACAACTACTAGTGGAGTACAGCGGATTTGTTTCACTTGGACTATGGTTAAATCTTCAAGGACCCATTCATTTCTGCCTGTAAACTCCAGTGCGAAAATAGGTGAGCCTGGGCCAGCCAGGCTGCTGTGGGAAAGTGGTATGGACAGCCTAGTAAAAGACTGAACAGGGCCTCCCCGGTGGCGCAACGGGTTGTGCGCTGCACTGCGAAGCTGTCCACAGCCTCTGCAGCACGGGTTCGATTCTCGGCCAGCCAGAGAGAAACCCTGCCAGCTGCTCCCCTCGGCAGTGTATTTCTGCCATCTGCCTGTTCTGCTCCCCGCTCTATATATGGTGAATTCTCTCACCTTCCAGTGCCTCTGACTGTACCCCAATTCTTATATAATTAAATCTTTAAAAAAAAAAAAAAGACTAAACAGCAACTGATATCAAGTATTTTGATATATACTCCTGGGTTACATTACCCACCAGGACTTGAAATTGTCTTGGTGGTCTTCCTTCTTCAGCAGCTGTTACTTTAAAAATAAAGGAAACTGGGCCTCCCTGGTGGCACAGGCGGGGTTGAGCAACATGCTGTGAAGCTGTCTGCAGCCTCTGCAGCACAGGTTCAATCCTGGTCAACCAGTGAGAATCCCACATGGCGCAGCAGACGTCTCCTGTCTCGCCTGCTGCTCCCCTCAGCAGTGTATTTCAGTCAGTCTGCCTGTTGTTTCCCGCTCTGTCTCTGGTGAATCCTCTCACCCTCCCGTGCATCTGGCCTGTACCCTGGTTCTAGCATAAAAATAAAAAAAATTAAAAATAAAAAAATAAAGGAAACTACTACTTAATCCTTGGAAGTCCTCTCCTACAGAATACTTGATGAGGTTATTTTGATGCTTAAGTGGGGCATGGTATGTAACAGCATCTGGCATAGTACCTGTTGCATGCCATTGGCTTTGTAAAAAGTATGTAAATGTTTATATAAAGCTTTCAAGGAAAGTGTGCCGGGCACTATGCCAAGCAGGAGATAAAAACATTTTTTTTAAGGCACTTCCCCTAAAACCTAGGGGGCAAGACAGATGAAAAATTCACACAATATAGTGTGATTGTCATGAAAAGCTTATCAAAGGTGGTCTCTGAACTGGAGAGTATAGTTTAGCACTCACTCTGGTTCCATGAGGAGGTGCTGGCCAGGAGGAAAGAAGTGCGCTGGTCACAGGGCACAGCTAATGCTGAGGCACCAAGGAGGTGAGGATGGGCCTTTAGATGAAGCTGACATCAAAGGCTTTGCGGGGTGCACATCAGGAAAGTTTTAAAAGCAAAGGCCTGATTATTTCTCTTAGCTCTGACACGGTCTCCTAACCCGGCTGGAACAATCCCTGGCGTCAAGGGCAAGCTAAGGGGCAGCCATGCAGCTCACAGACAGAGGTCACTTCTCGGTGACCCCCAACTCACCTCCAGGTTTCTGCTCTGCTCTGCGCTCTCACCTATAAAGGTCGCCAGACAGTGTCCTGGACAGGGATACTTATTTTAGGTATTAGGTACTTTCCTGTAACTAGTTTCTGACCCAGAGGTCAGGTTCCCAGGCAGACTTTAGAACCGGAGCCGGAGCGAGCACCTCAGTAACCAGCCGACTTCCAGGCTCCAAGTCTCACTCAGAATGAAACGCGACCCTGAAACCTAAGGGCCGCAGGGAGACAAGTCTTGGTAAAAGTTGCTGGGGAGAGAGGGGGTGCCCCGCCGTTAATGTCAGCCAGGACTTAAAACGGAAATTCAAAACAAAGCAGCTCCTTGCTTTTCTATTCTTGGCTCTCTAGCAATGCTAAGGGGGGGGGGGGATCTTGCAAACCCGGCGCCCGCCGTACCCCCCGAGCAGAGCGCGCCGGGGTGGGGCCCTGTCCCCGGCGCGGAGGCGCGCACACCCCTTTCGTGCAGACTCACAGCTTTGCAGGCGCCGCCTCCTGCGGGCCCGGCGGGGCTGCGCGTCCTCCAGGCCCGGGACCCCGAGCCGGGGCCCCTGCCGGGCGCTCGGGCCCCCTCCGGGGCCGCGGGCGGGGCGGCCCCGACGTGCCGCGGCGGGCGGGGGGCGGGGCCGGCGGGCGGGGGCGGAGCGGCGGCCGCGGCCCTGAGCCCGCCCCCCGCGTCCCCCGCCGGCCGGCTGGCGCGGCCATGGAGGTGTACATCCCGTCCTTCCGCTACGAGGAGAGTGACCTGGAGCGGGGATACACGGTAGGCGCGGGCCGCGGCTCCCCAGGGCCCCGCGAGCCAGACGCGCGGCTCCCGCGCCCCGGAGGCGCCCCCCGGCCGCCGCCGCCGGCCCTGCGCAGGGGCTGCCCCCCGCTCTGCTCCCCTCCCCCAGCGCAGGGACGGGCTGCGCCCGGCGCGGTTGTCAAGGCAACGGCGACCCCTCTCACCCCGGCCCGGCGGCTGCGGGCGCCCGGGGTCCCCGGGTTCGGTCGGTCGCCCCTCACAGGCCGGGGTGCCGGGAGCCGAGCCCTCACCCCCTCGGATGCGGTGCTCGCCCCGCGCCCGGCGCCTGTCCTCGGGGGGGCCCCCCTGGACTGCGTGGGTTCGAGCGCAGATGTGCCCCCCTGCGCTGACAGAGGGGGTCGCGGCGCGTGGATGCTGGCTTCCAAGTTGTGTGGATTCTCTCAGGCGCAGGATGAGCTAAGCTTTAACATCCTCCCGAGCCGAAGCGAACACCTGTGTTGCTTTTAGATGGTTTCCAAAGTTTCCCCCTCCCCTGGTTCTGCAGTGCCATGAAATGGCAAAATCAGGTGCTTCCAGAGCACCATTCTGCAGCTGCAGCTGGGGTGCGGAGAACTGAGCGCCCGGCCTTAGCTGTCAAGAGTGGAGGGGTGGTGGGGTGATGGGGTGGTGGGGTGTTGGGGGGCGCACACGCCTGCGCCAAGGCCTGGTGGGACCTTTGAGTAACAAGTTGAGCGAGTGGAACCGCGTAGACGCTTGACTTCCCAAAGAATGTGGACATCTTTATCTAGACTATCTTTGCTGGAGGGGAAATGCCTGCTACATGCCTCAGTCACAGGATGGTAGGTTTGGGGAGGGTTGCAGAGGGCAGTCTGAAAGAATTGTTATTTTGTGCACTAATCACTCCCTTGCTAAACACCTCTTTGGTTTGCAGATTATTTTTAAGCGCCCTGGTGACTCGCTTTGGAGCCTTGTGTTTTCCTAGTGAACACTAGATCCCTTCTCAAAGGAAGATTTAGAATTCAGATTAGAAATTGGGGGAAAATTTCAGAGTATGTGGGTTGTTAGAGTTAAGTAGAGTGCTGGGTCCCAGTGTCCCAAAATGAGTACTCAGGGTGCCTTCCATGGGGAGGGAGCTGAGTGGCCAATTATATAAGTCATCCTTTCCACTGAACTAACATTTGGTCAAATACTCTAGCTTCCTTTAAAAAAAAACAAGAAAAAAAAAACACACTTTAAATATGAACCTAGTCAAGGCTTTTTCCTTAGTCTTAAAACCCAGGTTTTCTTCCGTTCCTCTTGGATGGCACAGTCATGGCAGGCCCACCATGTTGGGGACATTCTTTTAGGATCTGAAGTTAAAAAGACTGCTTGATAGGAGACTTGGTCTTTAAGACCAAGGAAAGAGGAATATTGTCTCCTTTAGTCCAAGGTAAAAGTAGTTGTATCCCCAAATAAGCACCTGTAGGTACATCAGCATTAAGGCTCCTTGGCCATTCTTAATTTTCTCTCTTTCGAGAATTTATTTAGCCCCCCCAAGTTTTCATATCCCTTTTTATTACTTTTTACAAACCATTCTCCTGGTTGTGAATGAAAACGATTTGGAGAAGTCCTTTTCTTGGTAATCTTAGTAGTTTCAGATTTGCTTGCGTGATGAGGCTGTGTGTGCTTTTTTGTAAGTTTTTTTTTTTTAAATATCACATAATTCAGTTAGATGGTTAACTATATTGTTAAAACACCTTCTGCAAGTGATTTTTTTCCTCTTGTGAATTTGTGAAGCATCTGTTTCTCTGTTTGCACTGAGCAACTCTTTTGTAATGATTAAGCAATTTATTCACTCATCAAATATTAACTAAGTGTTCCTCTGCACCTCAGTTCTTGGTGCTAGGAGTATAGTAGTGAATAATATTTCATCTTAAAAGAAAAAAAAACAGAATGAAAAGAAATAAAATCAATAAAATCTTAGTTTCCTAAAAGAGAAGCTTATAAAATAATATACACTTTACTGTAAAAAGTACCTCATTGCCTAGTGACTGCTTCAAATTTAAGAACTATTATCACATTCTAACCAATTCAGTAATGGGAAGCTCTAAGTAGAAAGGGAAATTTCTTCCTCCCTGCTTGTACACATGCCTGCAGAGATCAAACACAGGGGAGCTCTCTTAGAGACTTTTTCCCTATGCTGTGAAAACCTAGATTTTCTTTTTAAGAAAAATCACCAGAATTTACTTTCAACATTCATCCTTCAGCTTCTGGATATTCCGTGTTGGTATGTATAGTTCTGAATCCTAACCACCAGCCAAGGGATCTTCCACAGTAGAAAGGACCATGATTTGAGTGCCTGGATCTTATTAACGGCCAAGACATTTGCTTCTGATATTAGCAATTGCATCAAATAGATCACCCCTGTGCATGCTTGTTTGTGTCCACTGCTAGGATTTCTGTAGGGCGTGAACGAAAAATAGTACTTCTGAGTCTTCTAAAGTCTATATATATATTTCTCAGAGCTTCAAAGAATTTACACAAAGTTATGTTCAAGGTACAAAATAATTAACCTTGTAAGGAGTAATGACTCTTTGTCCTTTGAACATGTCAGCATTAGGTGTGGGCCAGCTGGGGGTGGGCAAGGAAGAGACTGAAATATGGAAGGAGGTTGTTCCTGTTCTTCCAATATCAGCTCATCCTGGAGGAATAAGATAAGCAAGGTTTAGTCAGCCCAGAGGCCTAAGGGAGGGAAGCTGCTGTTCTTTGCTTAGGGTGCTGTGCTAGGTGGGGATGGGGTGCTTAGGCATGCTGATTGTGAAATCTGATTAGTTTTTGCTGGGCTTGTGAATTCTAGAAAGAGGAAGTACAGGGGAAATGTCATCTTGTGGGAAAGGCATTTTAAACTTCCGGATGCACCAAAAACAGAAACGTGGGAAGGGGTGGAATTGAAATCATTTTAGTTTACAAAGAAGCAGGAGAGACCACTGGAACAAAATGCAGATGAATTCTGATAGGACTTTATGAAAGTTTATTCTCGTCCCCTTCCCACCCACCTTAGGGCTTATTTAATATCTGTTTCCCCTGCTAGGTTGGCAGCTCCTTGGACAGTGTGCACCTCCCCTGTTGTCCCTAGTATGGGGCCTGTCAAATAGTACGAGTGCACCCCATGTCTGCTGAATAAATAATGAATGTTGAGTCTTCTCACAGGAGAAGAAAATCTGAAGAGCAGAGCTCCTGAGCTTGAAGCGCTCAGTGGGCTGGTGGGGTCAGGGTGCAGGCTGGAGTTTCGAGTACCAGGGGTTCTAACTCCAGATCTAAAGACACCTGCTCCCTAGCCTGGGGAGTCATAAGGAGCACGGTCTTTCACTTCAGACTCTGGGAGTCACAGGAGAGATTTTGAGGAAGGAAATAACTTGGTTAATTCTGTGTTTAGAAAGATGACTCTTGGAGCATGGTCATCTCAGAGACACTTGCACAAGAACCAGAAGGCAACTTGGAAGGAAATAGGATGGTGCTCTGGTCAGCAGATGTGAGGTCAGGGTGACTCACGTGTGTGTGCCTGTGCCCGCCAGTAACCTACGATAACTGGTTCTTGGGGAGGAGGGGATTCATGTGGGCCAGTGGTTTTGGTGATGAGTGAGGATCTTTAATTTTGGAGTTAAGGATATGCATAGGTTTGGGCTAGAAATATGGCTTGTGTAAGGTCATTCAGTGTAACATGAAAAAGCATATAAATCGGTGCTGTTCCTTACAAAGAGCTTGCAGAGTAGAGAAAGCTGAGGATAAAATTCTAGAACTTGAGCAAGCAAAGATGTCTCTGCACAGCATCCAAAAGGAAAGGAAACCTAGGGATGTGAAGCAGCTAAAGGAGAGACGGTAGGTGCTTTACAAGAAGGAAAGTTCTAGATGCCACTGACTAATTGTGAGGGAAGATGGAGAACAGCCCATTGGATACAAGGAGTGGGTTCCTGGGTGCTGGTTAAGGCTAGTTATGTCACCATATTTAGGCTAGATATCTTGGTGAAAACAACAAAACTGGAATTATAACTTAGGTCACAACAACAACAAAAAAATTGAATTCCATCACTGTAAAAATGAAGGCATTGAGTAAGTTTTTCAAGTGTGTTTTTACTCTGTGACTGACGGTGTTTTGTTTATACTAATGTATCTTTTTTGAGGGATTTGGAGGGTGTCACTAGTGTACATGATATATGAGGCTTTTCAGAACATAAGTTTGCTTCATAGATACATGATCACTGTGTAAGGTTGCAGGAATCCTTATTGGTTAGATTAAAATACAAAAATGGAACACTATAACAAACCATCATTTTACTGCCTGCTCACCTGCCAGTATTTCCTCATCCCTACTTCATTCACTGCTCCTTGTTCCCCCATCTTTTAAAATAAAAATTCCTTAATATTTTTAAGCAAATATAACTTTGTCTGTAAATATTTCACCGAGAATGGCTGATGAAGACATTTTAAAAAATCAAACCCAAAATTAAATATTACTACAAAATGAGGAATACCTTAATATCCCACTTATTTTTAACATGTCCCCGTGTG